GAGTTGGTTGGGGCTTGGTTTTTTTTGTACATCTTTATCTAAATATACAAAGTAGTTAATTCAAATGCAATATTTACATTTATAAATTTAAAAAAAAATACATGTTGACTGAAGTTGATGAAGTAGATATTTCGATTCTAAATGACACATTTTTTTTTATAATATATTATTTTTTCTCCATAAATAAGACTTACGTTACATCTGCATAACATTAAGATTAAATACATTGAAATAAATATTGCTTACTTATCGGCGCAAGCGACAACCTTTACATTAAAATTCATATCTTGTACATTATTCTTTTAGGGGAGGGGTCGGGGTTTTAAAATGTTCTCTAAAGCTTTTATGAATCTTAAACTTGAAATATAAAATGTAAAGAATGGGAATCAAAAACATAATTCCACGGGATTTATCGTACTTAATCAAAGTTTCAAAGTTTTTACTATAGTAAATCAAAGTTCCAAAGTTTTTACTATAGTAAATCAAAGTTCCAAAGTTTTAACTATAGTAAATCAAAGTTCCAAAGTTTTACTATAGTAAATCAAAGTTCCAAAGTTTTTACTTTGGTACTATAGTTAACTATAGTAAACTATATTTAACTATAGTTTACTATAGTATTTTTTTGTTAGGGGTGCACTTTTGATTAAACAAGGAATCGTCATGTTCATAAACATTTTTAATGAGAAAGTGATGTGCATATATGTTATCGCATTTTAGATTTATATCCTTTTTAAATAGTAAATTGACTTTACCATGACTTTGTTCTTTCTCCCGGAGGGGGGAGGAGGTTGGTTCAAGGCAGATACTACTTTCAATTTTTTTACTATGATATATAATGTATAATTTGTATTCCAGACAATTCAAGTGGATGATTATGCAGTGTCTGCTTCTACATGCTTCTACATGTGAATGCCATTATGGGTAATTTCATACATCGTTTTACAACACCTCTGCACCTCTGTTGTATGGGTCATTATAAATGTATGAAGATTTACGTGTACAGTACTAAAAATTTGAATTAACATCCACTTCTGTTATGAATTGAAATTGATTTGAAAATTTTTTTTCCTCAGTTAAGAGATTAAAATGGAGAACTGTATACAATACAAGTATCAGTTTGTCCTTGCATATTCTTTACTAATTTGTTTTAATTATTAAACTAATTTGGTTTTATTTTCATTTTCAGATATAAATGCATGCTGTGTTTGTAAAACAGATGTAAAGTGTGGGTGGCTTACAAATGTAAGACAGCAATAAAAAGGAAGCCCAACAAGTCGTTTAGAATAGAGGTAAAAATTGTAGGTTAATGAACAGAAATTTCTACTTTTTAGGATCTTTCAATCACTTTTCAACAAACCCACAAATTATCCTTGCTATTTTTCTCTCGTCTGCAAAGCAGAGGGACACTTAGGGATCACTTTACTCGCAATCTGTCTATCACACCTTGGATTTGATATTTTGCACATATTTGCATGGCATTATGAGTTTTGTAAAATACCATGGTTGACTACTTTATTTTAAATAGTTCATAATGCTAGTTTACAGTTATATATTTATAAGGTGACACATGTGTTCATTGGAACACTCTAGTTATACTATTCTGTATATTTTTAATGAAAATAAAAGAGCATAAGACAGGCCATATTTGGTAATAAGTACAGAAATTTCCTTGGACAGAAATTGGCAAGGCTTGGCAGTTTTATTGGTAAAAATTGAAAATTGAATGCATTATTTATTTATTTTTTCGCTGACCTGAACTGAAAACTCAACTAAGCGTCTCATGCATTGTGATGAGCTTTTGAAGATTCTGAATTTGTACAATAACTCATTTCCCCCAGGGGTAGGGTGGGTCCACAGCAGGGGATCAAAGTTTTGCATGGAACTACATGTATGTAAATTTTCTTTTTAAATAAAAGTAACACAAGAACCATTAATTTACAAACATTCCCAATTTTTGTAGACATTTTTAATTATGAACCACAGATTAGAGTTTAAAGTAATTTGCAGTATCAAATAAATGTTTTTAATATTTTCAGCTATGGAATAGATTCTGCAACCAGAGCCATATGGGCACCAGATCCCTCTTGCTCCTACTACAGAATATCTTTGATCAGTCTGATATTTATTCAAGCCGATGCTCCACTTGTCTGGTTATGCTATGCAATGATTCTGTCCAAGTACTGCAGAGGCAACAACAGGGCATTGAACAAATCCTATGTAGGAAGTCATATGGACACAAAGGATAACTGTCTCCAACTTTGGAGCTGTGCTTAATCTTAATCATAAAGACCCAATTTTTTTTACCGTACGGTTACCTGAAGAGAGGGATCGGTCTTAGTTGTACTGGTGTTATTTACTTGGAGGGCCCCAATACTCAAGATGTCAAAAATCCCTATACACATTGTAGTACACAGGAAGTCTGTCTTTGGTAATCAGGATCAACATTACGCGTTTTTGTTTAATTTTGAGAGAAACTATTGTAAATAATTTATATACTTTAATATAAATTGGTTAACTTAACGTTTTTCATCGATATCTTTTGAAGTAAAAAATTATAAAGAAATATCTTCTCTTTTTTAAGGAAAAAAGTAAAATAAAAATAAAATCACGAACGAAAACTACAACGCAATCATATCAATATTTTTTAATCGTCAGTAAAAGAAATTATCATTCAGTAAGTGTAAATGTTGAAATAAAGAGATTTCATTTATCGTGTGGACAATCCGACATGTGCCATAGCCAGAATATTATTTATTTTTCTGGCCAACAATAGTGTCCGAAGTATTCACCACAGCAATTCCGGGGTCCGTGTTTTTATGCCCTGTTCACAGATTTGTTTGTAGACTTTTTATAAAAGATTGATCACTGTTCGTTATCTTCATCCTTTAATATTACGAATATATACATTAGAGGAAATTCGAACAATGATTGTGACATTTCTTCCACCGAATGGTATAGATAGATTTATCTGTTTGTCTTCAATAACAATTTTTGCTAAAAAATAGAACACTTCCAAATCGCAATTTAAAACAAAACCTCGAATATCCGCTATACTTTTTTTTTCGGAAAGTTCCACAGTTGCGTTATCTTGGACGCCATATCGCTTACAAGTCAGAGATGGGGTAATGGTAATGCGTAATGGTAATGGACAGTAATTAATTAAAAATTTGGATGTAATTGAAAGTAATGTGTAATTGGCCATGTTTTCAATTACATGTAATTGTAGTTTAATTAATTACTTAGGAGAAAATGCTTGTAATTCACAATTACTTTTCAATTACATTCAATTATACTGATGTATAATGATTGAAAAATCAATACCCCCCCCCCTCCCCAACCACCTTCAAGAAAGCTCAACTGATCTTTTGGGGAAATATTTGGTTGGTTAATATCTTGCAGGAATATTCATATTTGCTCCTTTGAGTGAATTGCTGTTTTATCTCATGCATTTTTTTTAAAGGAACTTTCAATATATTCTTTCTGTGTTTAATATACAAATAAACTTAATAGTTTTGACTAAAGTTGTTTATGAATTATTTATAATAGTTGGAATACCTAGTTTAATGGCTTCCAATCCTTTGTTTGCCATATCTGTTATATGTGTGTTAGAGTGATAATCAAATGCTAATTAGTACCCTAAGGTCATTTACATATATACTGACATTGAATTTTAAGAGATATTTTACACACTTTGAATATTATTTTTATTTTATTTTAAAAATTTTAGAGGACTTCAGGACAACGGTAGCCCAGCTGAGTGACCCTCGGGTTTCTTGTCTTATTCCCTTTTACATCTACACACTTCGTAAGTCTTTTATGTAAATAAATATATTATATTAATGATACATATTTCTAGTCGTTTTTTTTTCTATTGAGCAAATAATAAAATATTGAAAATCTTGAGTACTTTAAAGTTTATGTATTCGTCTTTCTAACAAACAGCTTGCAGGAGCTCATTGTCAGAGAGCATACTTGGGGGTATGATTCGTAAAAGAAGTACAAACTACGTGTTTTAACATGGTGTTGGTATTCTTTGTGATATTTAAATGATGATTTGCTTCCATTCTTATTATACTAGTGTTAATCAAAATAAATTGCTTTTCGTGATATTGTTTTAACAGATATTATCGTAATATAGATGTTAAAACGAAGGAATATGTTGCAAAATGAAGTAATTATACTCAATTTCAAGGTTTAATTTTGATTGACCCTCGTATTTCATTTCACACCCCTTCTTTGAAATTATAGTCTCCATTAACGTTTATTATCACTAACAAATTGAATGTGATAAAAGAATAAGTTTCTTCCTTCTAATTTTATTCACTTTTGCTAGAAAGACGTATACATAAACTTTAAAGTACTCAAGATTTTCAATATTTCATTGTTGCTCAATAGATAAAAAAATACGACTAGAAATATGTATCATTAATATAATATATTTATTTACATAAAAGACTTACGAAGTGTGTAGGTGTAAAAGGGAAGAATACAAGAAGCCCGAGGGTCACTCAGCTGGGCTACCGTTGTCTTGAAGTCCTCTAAAATTTTTAAAATAAAATAAAAATAATTCCTCAATATTCCCATTAAACTTTTTGACTTTATATTATGGCCATAACTTAACTTAGCCTGAAACCACAGCACAAGGCAGTGCTGAAAATCTGCACTGTATAACCTTGCTCTCTTAAAATTTTTAAAAGCTTTTTAAAACATATTCAAGTATATTGTTAAATTCAGTTTTGATTTTAGCCCTACCTAGCGCAAGGATCAATACGTTGAACAATCTCGAATTCACAATCCTTTCAGTAAAACATCTAAACATGAAACAGGTGTGGCAGACTCTGTAGAATTTTTTTTTAAATATATAAAGTTAACAGACAACTAACGGATTTATGTTGACCGGAAAAGCTTTATTTGAGCCTTTGGCAAACAAAATTGTAAATGAAACTAAGAAGTATAGATCATAATCTCTTTATTAATATAAAATTTGAGTTTACAGTCAATATCCCACGTAGAATGTATAAGAATGAGCAATACAAGAAATAGAAACATACTTATAGGTAATTAATGATTACGGAGCTCTTCTGGAGGAATGTAATCTACAACAAAGGCAAATCTCACACCTATTTTTTTCTTGTTAATATGCATCCCAAGATCAATATCCATGCAATTTTGATTTAAGTACAGGTGGGACTTTTTTTTGAGAATGGACCAGCTCCAAAAACTTAAACCTGTTCACTCATAGGCCAGATCCAGCCAGATCCAGCATCCAAAACAAGACTTATAGTGTCCATTCCGATATACATCATTCATGCTAGTATGGTAATATTCACTCTTCTAGACAATGTAGGTCAAATCCAGCATCTGAAGCAGAACGGATAATGTACATCCCTCAATTCATCATCAATATTAGTTTGTGTTCAGGTAGGGTTAATGCTCACTCATAGGAAAAACGTAGGTCAAATGCAACATACGACGCAAATCTGGAAGTATGCATCCGCAGATGCCTACTCCCCTCAAATCTGGTCTATTTGTTTAACGTCCTTTCTAGAATTTTTCACTCATGTCGAGGCGCCACCACTTGCAAGTGGAGGGCTGCAAAGTTAGATCAGTACTCGGCACTTAGGGCCTTTGAGTAGTGAGGAATCTTTTTGCGTCAGCACCTAATGCGACTCGGGACCTCCGTTTATACGGTCTCATCCGTAAAGGGGGTTCGAACCCGCCACGTAAGGACCAACTCCTTACTCTGCAACTCTAGAGCAAACACTCTAACCATTGCGCCAATTGGGCGACAAGTTTGGTACTAGTAAGGCATATAGCTACTCGGGAATCGGTCTGCTCCAAAAAATTATATTTGTTCATTCACCTGGAAAATGTAGGTCAGATCCAGCTTCTGAAGTTCTTTCCCTAGATACGAATTTGGTCTAGGAAGGACTTATAGTTACTTAGGAATGGACTTGCTCCTAAAACCTTAACGTGGTCCATTCATATTGGTCATATCCAGCATCCGAAGCAAGTCTGGTAGTGTCGATCCTTGGATGCATCATCCATGCAAGTTTGGTCCATGTAGGGCTTATTGTTATTGGGATTGACTTGCTCCTACATGTAAAACTTGAACGTATAACGCTGACGCCTGGGTATAGCTTAGCTCATCTTGACTTCGTCGAGGTGAGCTAGAAATTGAAAATAAACAAAATGCCTTATTCCTTTAAAAACTTTTGAGAAGGAAACATTTTTATTACAGACGCTTTACATGTATTTGAACTGGTATCTCAACAGAGAATATGAAATATTTCACTTAACTTTTATATAATTTAAAGATTGAAGACGTAATGTTAATGTATTCCTTGAATAAAATTTTAAGTTTTGACTTTGACTTAACATGAAATACCGGTAATTGACTAGAAATTAACAAAAAATCTTCACATACCAATATGTTAAACTCATTAAGTCAACATTAACTGACCAAGTTAAGCTTCTCAAACTTGGCATCTCCTTAAAATAACTTTAATTGTCACGCGTAGAGATAAAATAACTTTCCTACTGAAAATATGTAGACAATAAACAATCATCAGAATTAAAATTCAATACATAATTGAGAGCAGGGCAAACATGGACCTCTTTAAACACCAGAGAAAGGTTCATGTCCCAGGAGCAAGCATATAGCGAGTGAATGCATTAGAAGGAAAACTGCATCTAAATACGAGAACACGATCGACATTCAATACTAATTAACAAATTAAATATTATATCTAAATTATTCTATTCACTCAACAAAAGCAACATTCATCACGATTTGAAAGGTTACATTGTGATAACAATATATTTGGGGGTGGGTTGGAGGTAGAAATTCAATTTCAATGTCCATATAAGAAATGCAGCATGATAAATGTAAGTATTTATAATAATTTTAGCATAAAAGTAATAAAGTGATCCTTTATATCTATAACATGTCATCTACTACATACCTAAAGAAAAATTTCAGAAACATACCTGTATCCGACTGTAGAAGAGTGAAAAGTTGTAATAATTGTGTGCCCAATTAAGAAAAAAATATTCTGGATTTGACCAAAGACTACTTAAAACATAAATCTGAGTTGAGAGCTTGCATATATACTAACAAAGAAACATCAGCAAAAACAGTACACTTCTCCTATGGTAATCTTTTTGTAATATTTAGTTCCAGTGTTCATGACTTAAAACACAAATCTCAAATATGATGACATTAACTGTATAATTATTTGACTTTTGTTGTAAAATTAAAGATTAACCCAGATCAACAAACATAATTTATCTACTTATTTACAAACATCTATCAAACACATTCATATTATTTCATTTTGGTATAATTACACAGCTTGATTATAATATAACCAAAACTGAAAAAAATACCCTGAAATATTTTACAAAGTGTTCAAATCATATGTATTTAACCATAAACAGAAAAACATAACTGACGAAGACAATTTTTACTCAGTTTCCAATCAGATGAGCACTGTCCAAGTGGTTAGCTTAATTCTAAATACTATAATGCTCTTTTGAAATTTATTTCGGTAAGAACAGCACTGGTGTAATTAAATTGATAAAATAGCTATGGTTATATTCTTTTATTTTGTCTTCAAAATATGTAATTGCACGTATTTAACGAATTCACAAGTTTGATTTAATGACATATGCTCCGCATGAATATCAGCTCCTTTTTTCCAATCACCCTTTTGAGTTCCACAGTGAAAACATGTTGTTTCCAGATCATATCCTAATGAAAATCAAACGCATCTTACATTTAAAAATGAAAATCCATATAGACACGAGGGGTGATCAAAAAGTTCGCGAACTAATTGAATCACTTCCTGAAAAGAAATAAAATGAGGTTTCAGTGTTCATTATTTTTTAAAGTAGTCCTCTCCGATTTTGATGCACATCTGCCACGCAGCTATGTTAAGGCTGTCCGAAGACTTAATATGCATTAGATATATACTATTTTATTTCGAGCTATGTTTTGATTTCAGTTTGTAATCTATGTATACACACACAGTTAAGTTTTACAGAGAGTTGAATAAGTTTTATAAAAAAGCATTTTTGTGATGTCACATGACTGTGTTGATCACGTGACGGACACTTATAAATTTCATTAAATGTTGCACAAAAATCGCGTCAGCACAAGTGAAAAACAAAATTATTGTGAACGGCTTGTTACATAAATCAATTAAACATATTCTTGGGTATATATAAAGTGCTGGGGGCAAGTCTGAATTTTAATTCTTCAGAGAATATTTCACTAAAATGGGATAAATTACATACAATCCCCCAGCAAAATTCAGTTAGAGGACATATTTCTCTAGTAGATTAACACAGAATATCTTCAATTAATCGTTATTATTCACTTGTGCCAGTCGTGTTTATATAAGATTTATAAATTCTATCTCTGTCTGCGGACGTGTAAGGGGGAGCGTTTCACATTCTTTTTTGTACTTGTTTGAATACGCACATGTTAGACAAGAAAAAGGAATAAGGATATTATACTGCAAATATTCACCATCACAACAGCCTTAAAACAACAATGCAGACATTTGAACTAAACATCAACATAAAAAATTCTACATATGTGATGCGAAAAGAATGTAAAAGTTATGACATTTTCCCCGACATGTCAGCTCAAGTATGCAGTGACTTGGCGTCATATGCCATTATGACGTCATATCTAGGTAGTTCAGAGAAGTTACTACGGCTGCTACACTGTGACATTCTTCGGGCAGCCTTATCCTAGCCGCGCATTGTTCTGCCCATGCGCGAATCACGTGATCCAGGCGGTCACGTGACATGCTTCGTAGCGGTCTGTTCACAGAAGCTAAGAGATTTTTCTGAGTCTTATATTTCTTACCATGCAAGTATTTTTTATAACAAGAACACACCATCTGTCAGAAATGGCCAAGTCTCGGCAATAGGATGGGTGGATAAGGGTATCCCTTCTCAGAATTAGCATGGTAACCATCACAACCCGAGTCCTCTGTCTCGGGAGTGTCGTTTATCCAATGTGGAAAAATATGGGCGCCTTCTTTTTTTCATATCTCATATGTTTAAAGACTAAAGTAAACGATATTTTAGGGATTTATTATCTATATTATTGCTCAGATATTAAAATATTTCTCTTACTGTAACTTGGCGATCTTTCAAAACAAATTGCTCAACCAAGGACACATCTTTTTACCGGCTTGCTTTCGATGGGCAACAGAACAAACATCATTTTTAACCACCTCCCTGCCTTCACTAAGAAATTTAATCCAATTAATGATTGAACTTCTGGTAAGTCTTTTGTCTTCATAAACCTTGTACAAATTATCATATTCTACTGCAAAGGAATTTCTGAGATATACGTTAAACTTGACAGCAGTTCGTTGCTCGAGTACGACTGAGTTCACCATTTTTTGTCACAAGTGACCTACATAGTGACGTCATTTTCACATTGTGACGTCACAAAGACGGAGCAAAACATTATTTAACATCTGCTATTTATAGAACATATGTATGACTATATGTGTGCCAAATTTCATTCTGATCTGAATTGTGTTTTTTTAAATATAGAGATAGTTCGCGAACTTTTTGATCACCCCTTGTATCTCTAAATACTGAACTGTCTGATTTTATGTTATATTATAAGTTCATTTAGCCATTATTTTCAAAAGTGAATACTAGTATGCTAAGCTGCAAATTCGCAGTATAAGTGAAAATAAGACATTAATTTGTTTACCTTCGTAATAAAACCCGTCTCTTGCAAAGTCCCAAGCTCTGTCTTTTATGCTGCCAACTTTGCATTCTTCAAAAGATTTTTCGCGAGTTTGGACATGTTTATAAGCTGGATATGCATTCGGTGTCGAATCAAAACCATCCAAAATTTGTTCCTCTTGCAATTTACCTAGAGGATAAAAACAGATACTGGTATCTGAAAACAAGAGGCCCATGGGCCACATCGCTCACCTGAGCACATTGGCTGGGCAAAAGCACAAATCAGTTCAGTATTGAAAAGATTACCGGGAAGGGGGGGGGGGGCTTGAATTTTAAACTACCTGATGATGCTTCCATGTCAATATAACAAATGGCTTTGTTGTTCTTGAGAAGATTTAAAAAAAAATTTCCCATATATTCCTTTGTAAAAATTTGATCCCCCATTGTGGCTCCTCCCTATCCCAGGGGTCATCATTTGAACTTGAATCTACACTACCTGAGGATGCTTCCATATCAGTATGACTAAACATAGCTTTCCTGTTCTTGAGAAGAAAATATTTTTTCTATATGTTTCCATATCAAAATGACTAATCATGGTTTGCAGTTCTTCAGAAGATATTTTCCTTTACATTTCTATTTAAAACTTTGATCCTCCATTGTGGCCCCATCCTACCCATGGGGGCCATGATTTGAATAAAATAGAATCTACACTACCTGAGGATGCTTCCACATAATAATACATCAATCAGGGCTTTGCTGTTCCTGAGAAGAAGATTTTTAAAATTTTTCCTATATATTTCTATGTAAAACTTTGATCCTTCATTGTGGCCCCACCCTACCCCCGGGGGTCATGATTTGAATAAATTTGAATCTACACTGCCTGTGGATGCTTCCATATAAATATATACCATCTGGGCTTTGCTGTTCCTGAGAAGAAGATTTTTCCTATATATTTCTATGTACAACTTTGATAGTCCATTGCAACCCCGCCCTACCCCCGGGGGTCATGATTTGCATAAACTTGAATCTACACTGCCTGAGGATGCTTCCATATAAATATGACTCATCATAGCTTTGCTGTTCTTGAGAAGAAGATTTTTAAAGATTTTTCCTATATATTTCTATGTAAAACTTTGATCCTCCATTGTGGCCCTGCCCTACCCCCGGGGGTCATGATTTGAACAAACTTGAATCTACACTACCTGAGGATGCTTCCATATAAATATGACTCATCATGACTTTGCTGTTCTTACGAAGAAGATTTTTAAAGATTTTTCCTATATATTTCTATGTAAAACTTTGATCCTCCATTGTGGCCCTGCCCTACCCCCAGGGGTCATGGTTTGAACAAATTTGAATCTACACTACCTGAGGATGCTTCCATATAAATATGGCTCATCATGGCTTTGCTGTTCTTACAAAGAAGATTTTTAAAGATTTTTGCTATATATCTCTATGTAAAACTTTGATCCTCCATTGTGGCCCCGCCCTACCCCCGGGGGTCATGATTTGAACAAACTTGAATCTACACTACCTGAGGATGCTTCCACATGAGTTTCATCTTTCCTGGCCCTACGGTTCTTGAGAAGAAGATTTTTAAATGATGGCATTATTTTTTCACTAAACCCTAATTATCTCGCCTTGAAAGAGGGCATGGCCCTTCATTTGAACAAACTTGAATCCCCTTTACCCAAGGATACTTTGTGGCAAGTTTGGTAGAAATTGGCCCAGTGGTTCTTGAGAAGAAGTCGAAAATGTGAAAAGTTTACAGACAGACAGACGGACAGACAGACGGACAGACAGACAGACAGACAGACGGACAGACAGACGGACGCCGGACAAAATGTGATCAGAAAAGCTCACTTGAGCTTTCAGCTCAGGTGAGCTAAAAAGTTTTTGTATGATGAGGAATAACATTAAAGGATATTTTACAACCAAATAATAATTATATCTTAAAAACATCAACATATAAAGTGAAGCATTTTCAAACTGAAACAAAATTCACAATAAAAAGAAATAGACTTGGAATTATGGTATTTTAAAGGTCGTAAATAATTTACAAATTAAGTCTCAAAATTTAAGTGAATATTCTGTCCTTAACTATAGTTAACTATAGTTTACTATAGTAAATCAAAGTTTCAAAGTTTTTACTATAGTTAATCAAAGTTTCAAAGTTCTTACTATAGTTAATCAAAGTTTCAAAGTTTTCATTATAGTTTATGAACTTATTAAAGTATTTTAATAATTTATTGCTTATTTTGCCCTTTTTGGGGGTGGGGTGGGGGTTATTGTATATCTTAATGTAAATTTACAAATAAGTTAAATCAAATACAATATTTACATTAATTAAGAAAAAAACATGTTTACTGAAGTTGATGGGGCATTTATTTTGGTTCTAAATGACTCAAATTTCATTTTATAGTATATTATTTTCCTTTCTCCATTTAAAAAATGACATTACTTCAGCATTAAATTTAAATACATTTGTATAAATGTCGCTTATCTTTCGGTCTATCGGTGCGGGAGAAAACCTCACAATAAAACTCATTTCTCGTACTTTAATTTTTTTAGGGGAGGGGTCGGATTTATAAAAAATGTTTTCTGAAGATTTTGACCTTGAAATACCATTAAATGTCATAAATGGGAATCCAAAACATATTTCCACGGATGTTTTGTTATTCAAGGTTTTCACTATAAATCAAAGTATCAAAGTTCTTGGTATAATAAATCAAAGTTCAAAGTTTTTACTATAGTAAATCAAAGTTTCAAAGTTTTAATATAGTAAATCAAAGTTTCAAAGTTCCGAAGTTTTCGCAATTGTAGATCAAAGTTTCAAAGTTTTTATATGGTAAATCAAAGCTTTAAAGTTTTTTCTTTGATACTATATTTAACTATAGTAAACTATATTTAAGTATAGCTTACTTTAATATTTTTTGTTAGGGGAATTGCCATTTTAAATGGCCATGACTAAGAATTACAATTAGAAATTAATCGGTATAGAGAAATTGCCTAAAGAATGCCAATTATAAACATACTCTGTATGTCTCTTAAAAAAACTGAAATTTTTAGAAACATTTGCTATATCTGCATTATTTTCAAATCTATTTTATGAAATTGGTATACAAATATTTCCTAGGTATTAATTAGAAAAGCAATATTAATTTGATCTTTTTATTCATGTCTATTTATGAAAAAAATAAACTCCTACATATCTTAAGAATCTTACAAAATTATATTTGATGAAATATCATTAAGTCGAATGCTGACTGACGTTTTTCATACTAATCGTTAGGCCATTATTTACCCATTGAATTGTCGAGGGATTTTCTCATTATTTCCCGATCATAAAAATGAGCACACGGCGGGTGTGACCGGTCGACAGGGGATGCTCACTCCTCCATGGCACCTGATCCCACCTCTGATAATTTAGAGGTCCGTGTTTGCTCTGCTCCTGATTTGTATAGTTTGAATGGACTTTTGAGCTTGAATACTGTTCGTTATCTCCATATTTCATAGAAAAGATGATGCTAACTAACTCATATTCTGATTGTATGACAGTATTTGATTGCATAATTTTACAATCAATACCTGCTGTATTCATTCCCTTGTGTGCCTCTGCTTCAGCTGCAGCTGGGAGTGACGGATAAATTGGTGTCACTTCCTTTGATACTTGGGCTTGCATATGAACTAAATAAATAAAAAATAAATTGTTTGAACTTTAAAATCATTGTTGAATTGCCTATTTGTTTAACACATTAAACCTTAAAAATCATATTACTGATATCAAAATATTATTACAATATTTTATATATATATATATATATATATATATATATATATATATATATATATATATATATATATATATATATATATATATATATATATATGAGAAAGAAATCCACACAAGTATTCAAATAATAAAAAATAACAGAACGCCGATTAAAACTCTACCGGTTTCAATTATATCATCAACTCCCGATGATATAATTGAAACCGGTGGAGTTTTCATCGGCGTTCTGTTATTTTTACTTATATATATATATATATATATATATATATATATATATATATATATATATATATATATATATATATATATATATATATATATATATAGTTCATATATAGAGTTCATTACAACGTGTATTGGTAACGATCCTCTAACAAAACTAATGTCCAAATAACTGTATCTCACTTCCATTTTCAATGACCGTGTAGTGTAGAGCAGCGCCGCGAGAATTCCATCGGCATCGAAAGCAAGTTTTTTGACTTGCCTAGATAGCCGAGCGGTCTAGCGCGCTGTTCCTGTACTGCTAGGAGACAGATTCCGTAGGTCGAGAGTTCAACCCCGGGCTGGGGCGGAAGTGGGTATCCTTATAAAAGTGAATTTCTTTGTGCTTTCTATATATATATATATATATATATATATATATATATATATATATATAATATTCTAGATATATAACAATATATGATTACTGGATTTTACCATTTTTGTCTGTGGAATATTCAGCTATAGCTGGGTTTACTGGTGTCACTTCCTTTGGTAATTCTAAAACTATTTGAATAAAGAATGCATTGTAAACGTTCTTCATATTGCCTTAGGTCTTAAATGTGAACAATGATAAATCATACATTAGATTCAACATCCATATGCAAATTAAATCCATTTTTGATATACAGATTAAGACTTAGTATATATATATATATATATATATATATATATATATATATATATATATATATATATATATTTATATGAAAGAGAGAGAGAGAGATAAAAGATTGAAGGAGCACTCCAAATATTGTTCAGGGAAAAATCAAACTGTTGATGACACGAACCTTACCAACTCATAACATTTTCTTGGCAAGTCAAGCCACTATGTTTTATTTAAAAATAAAGGAAAAGTTTTACGCAATAATAATACGAGGGCTGTTCGGAAATTATTGAGACATTGTGTATATTCTTCTTTCTAATGAACGTTTTTCGGTGAAAATTTGCATATACGTTTGACAAACTCTAAGAAGTAATAAAAACAAAAATATTTTAAAAATATTTTATTTCATCTTTTCAATGGAATATTAATGTGTCAGTGGTAGGGGTACCCGGCGCAGTCACGAAATCGGATATTGAAAATATGTAACACCAACGTTAAAACTCCCAGTGGATACATACTAAGAGCGAAAATAATTCAAATTATGTATATAATATTTCAATTTAACTTTGACTTCATTTTGTGCAAGTTTGTTAGAATTTCGATCAGAAATACGGAGATCATTAAAATATTTACGCGCGGTATAGCTATCTGATAACGACGACAAAACGGATTTTCTCGTCAAGGCGGAGCAGCGATCATACCTAAAATTTTGTGTAGCGGTATTGAGAACTCTTGTCCAGACTAAACGACCTGCTAAAACAATTACAATGCAATAAAACAAGTCTAAGGGTTTATTGTTTCATTGGTATACATCATTTTCTTACAAATAATTCAACCAGAGTAAAAATAAAAGCCCCGAACGACCATCAATTATTACGGACTAAATAACGTTGACCTGCGTTGCATAACTCGGTACTGCATGATGCTAAGTCAACCTGTATTTGACACTTTTTGTATATTTTACACTGGGGTAGCAACAGCATTTTTTTTTTTTTTCGAAGAATCGATTAAGAATTATAAGACACAGTTTGATTTTTGAAATGTTATATGTAATGATAGAGGAAGTAGATTGAATGCACAATGAGAATATATCGGCTGACCTGACGTTAAAATGACGTAGCGATGCTGCTCCAGGTCAATAGACATATGCTTGTTTATAATTTCACTGGAACTTATTCAATTATCCTATAAATTAGAAATTTTGTACATTTGTTTTATTTGTTCTTTAAAAAACGTTGACGAATTTTTATGAATTTATCTCTGTCCTTTGTGGAGTAAAAGTATTTGTCTCAATAATTTTAGAACAGCCCTCGTACATCAAGCGGTATTACGAGAAAAAAAAACTTGTTTTTTTAATCATAGTATGAAAATGTTCATTTTTGGTCCTTTTGTTTCTTTGTCTCTTTATTTAATATATATATATATATATAAAATTTGTTTTTGTTCCTTTTTTAGTGATAGATTTTTCTTTATGTATAGAATATTAAGGTATTCTAATTATTATAGGACACTATTTTCTTTCATAAAATATCCATCTGATAAATAATTCTCTTGCGTTTATAAACAGATTTTCAAAATAGGGAAGGATTAAGAGAGTGAAATTTCCAAAATTATAATTACCAAAGCAGTAATCAACAAGATTACACTGAGGTCTATGAAGCTGAGCTAATGTCTTTAAAAATAAAATTTAAAACCAAAGAAAAATTGCTGTGTTGAAAAGATGGAATTTATCATTAGAAATAACATTTCAGTAGAAAATGAAGTTTTATTTGGTTATATTTAAATTTGATCTTTGTTGATTTAAAACAAAGGCCAAATTCTTCAAGGACAGGTTTTGGCACATATAAAGTTAAAAATCGTCCATAAAGGTTAGCCTGATATATTTTTGGAAGTGAGATACTTCCATTCTCAATGACCGTGTAGTGTAGAGCGCCGCCGCGAGAATTCCTTCGCCATTGAAGGCAAGTTTTTTTAACTTGCTAGATGGCCGAGCGATCTAGCGCGCTGTTCCTGCATTGCTAGGAGACTGGTTCCGTACGTCGACAGTTCAACCCCGGGTTGGGTTGGAAGTGAGTATCCTATTAAAGTGAATTTCTCTGTGCTTTCTGTATTGATATTTCTTCACTAAGGGCAGATATGTTAGTTTATGCAATATGTATCGGTAACGATCCTCTTTTAAAACTAATGTCCAAATAGCTGCATCTGAGTTCTCAATGACTGTGAAGTGTAGGGTGGTGCCGCGAGAATTCCATCGCCATCGAAATTGGGGGGGGGGGGGGTGAGTGTTTTTAGTTTGACAATCAATGTTTCCTACAGTCACTCGTCTTTATTATTCCTTATCCGTTGAATTTGCTGACTTTACTTCCTGTTTTTTAATTATACTAAGGTAGTAATGGTAGCTTTACCTTGTAAATCTGCTTCCGGTATATCATTGTTAAGTCCATTTAATGGTGTCATGGGTGGTACGTCTTATTTAGAATACTCTTTGGTAAAAGATGTCAAATTAACACAATAACAGTAAAACCTGGACATTTTATTTAGTCAAAATCAGAATTTTCGACAAAAAACAAATTACTCTTTGCTTCGAGTATGAAAAATCAAATACTACAGTACTGTCTTACAATATGTTAATCCGTAATATTTCCAGCACACGATTATTTGATTTCAATCAGATTGAATCAGACCAAAAGAGTTTAAAAAAATAAAAGTATGATTCAAACATTCAACACTTCTTACAATTTGTATACATTTAAAATATTAATTTAATTTATATACCGGTATCATTCCACACCCCAACCCTTAAACACAATTTAGCATTGTAAATTCACCATCAGGGAATGATTTTTTTTTTCCTGAGTCGAGTGCAAAAATTTCCACCTGTATAAACCGGAAAACACGGATTAAAACAAAACCATATGACTCTGTATAACAACCAACAGGCTGATATTTACTCAATCAGAGGTCACACAGTCCGCACAGTCGAGATATAAAGAGTATACGATATAATTCCTGACTCTTTGCTACACAACTGATTTCAAAGTGTTACACATAAGACAAGCTACTCCAAGAGTTGACAAGACCTTATTGAACATCAAAAGGCTTTTTATCCGCTTGATGAAATATAACTTTGCGATGGTGGGTTGTATAATCTTTCAATGATGAATACATAATCATAAAAGCATATTCCCATTCTCATTTAAGGACTGGTTACCTATCAGAACAAATTACCCATGCGCCAGAACGCTCACAAGAAAAACTCTGGCACTGCTGTTCACTAGGAGATTTATCAAAGACTTTGCCATATTGTGGCCCTATGAAAGCTCTCTGGTCAAAAAATATTAACCTACTCTACATGCTGAGTAACAATATGAGAAGAGTGACTTTGCTATTCAATCGATTTTTTAAAAGATATTTTTCTCTATATACGTTGAAGGAAAGTATAATAATAAGAGATTTTAGCACCACCCTAATCCCAGCGTCTACAATTTGAAAACAAATTAAAACAAATATGAATCTGCATTACATGTACATTGGGATGTTTGCGTATAAATGTTTTTTGATCATTCTACTTTATGCTTTACGTTCCTTGCGAGAATTTTTTTCACTCATGAGACGTCAGTGAATGGCTTCAGATTTAGACCTATAAACGGCACTCAGGAATACTAAGCAGTGATGGTTCTTTAGCATGCCAACGCCTGCCGTGACACGGTGCCTTGGTTTTAAGGTCTAATCCAAAAGACCCATGATTTTCACTTCTAATGCCGGGCGTTTGGAGAAGGAATAGTCACTATCTATGTTTTCAACCCTAGGTTTGACACGGCGCCGAAAACCCGGGTCTTCCGATCACGAAGCGAACTGTGATCGGTGTTTGCATATTAATGAGTACCGGTAAATGCGTCCCTGCTGTTTTTTGAGATAATTTTTAAATATAATTTTCCTATAGATCCCATGCAAATATTTGAAATTTTTTTCAATATTTGCAAATTGATTTGAAAAATTTTGTGTCAGCACTTTCTAGGGATTGACAACGCTCACCTGAGTCAATACAGCCCTGGTGTTCTTCATCAGCAGTTTTTTGAATTATATATATTTCAATGTAAAACTTTGATCACCTATTGTGACCCCAACCTTACCATAGCAGTCACGATGCATTCAAATCAATATGACTAATCAAGCCTTTGCTGTTCTTGAGTAGATTTTTTTTTTATTAAATATGTATTCTTAATTAAAACTGTGACCCCCCCCCCCCATTGTGGCTCGAACTTATCCGCAGGGGTTATGGTTCGAACAAACTTGAATCTACTCTACCTGAGGATGCTTCCATATCAATGTGACTAATCATGGCGTCGCTGTTCTTGAGAAGATTTTTTTATCTATATTTTCCTATGTAAAAGTTTAATTCCCATTGTGACTCCCCCGGGGGTCATGATTTGAACAATCTTGAATTTACACTTCCCGAGGATGCTTCCAAATCAATAATGTTTTATCATGGCTTCCATGGTCTTGAGAAAAAGATTTTTGAAGATTTTTCCTAGATATTCCTATTTAAATCTTTGCTTCCCCTTGTGGCCCCGCTCTACTCCAAGAGGTTATGATTTCAACAAACTTGAATCTACATTACCTGAGGATGCTTCCATATCAATATGACTAATCATAGCCTTGCTGTTCTAGAGAAGATGACTTTCAACTATATATTCCTCTGTTAAAATTTGATCCCCACTGTGGTCCCATCCCACCCCCGGGGGCCATGACTTGCACAATCATAAAGCTACACTACCTGAGGATGTTTCCATATCAATATGACTTAAATTAACATGGTTTGCTGGTCTCGAAAAGACGATGTTATTTTTAAAGATTTTTCCCCAAAATATTCCTTTGTAAATTTTGATCCCCCATTGTGGCCTAACCCAACACCTGGGGTCATGACCTGAACAAATTTGAATCTACACTACATGAGGAAATTTCCGTATCAATATGACTAATGCTTTTCCTGTTCTTGGAAATATGATTTTTAAAGATTTTCCCCATATATTCCTAGGTAAAACTTTGATCCCCATTGTGGCCCCGTCCTAACACGGGGTGGGGGTGTGGGGATTTGAACAAACACGAATCTACACTACCAGAGGATGCTACCATATCAATATTACTTATCATGCTTTTGCTGTTGTTGAGAGAAGATTTAAACAAAGTTGAATCTAAACTATCTAATGAAGGTTTCACATAAGTTTCAACTTTTCTGGCACAGTAGTTCTTCAAAAGATGATTTTTAAAAGTTGCTGCAAAATTTTCATTATCTCTTAATTATCTCCTCTTGAAAGACGACGTGGCCCTTCATTTGAACAAACTTGAATCCCCTTAAGCCTGGGATGCTTTTTTGGCAAGTTTGGTTGAAATTGGCCCAGTGATTCTAGAGAAGAAGTCAAAAATATGAAAAGTTTATACACGAACAGACGGACGAGAGACAAACTGTGATTAGAACAACTCATATGAGCTTTCAGCTCAGGTGAGCTTATAACACAATATATTTAGTAATTCTTGAAAACTTTGATACGGTATTGTAACCTACGATCTAGAATATCCCCCTTCCAAGTATCCTTGCATATTAATATGACTTATTATCATGGCTCTGCTACATTATTTCTTTAGATTTGAGTATGTATAAAAATACTTTCTCTTTAAGAAGATTTCCTTACTGTAAATATCCACTATAAACATATAATATCGATATGGAAAAGTGGTTTTTCAATGGATTATAGATACCTCTCATAATACTGTGTTATTTTAACACGTGAGTTACTTGAATACTATCGCTTTAAGGAGATTTCCTAATCGTGTCGATATCATTTTTGCGCAATACTTGTGCATATGTACTTTTTGATATATAAGTATGCCCTACTGTCGATATCGACGATATCGTATCGATATCATATCATTTTGATATCGAATCATGACTGTTCAAAACATGTTTTTACAAACCTTAACCCTAATCCCTGACAATAACAACCCGTAACCCTCTATTTATTTACATATTCAGGCCAATAATGAATTAATATCGATATCGCTTTTGGTTTATATATATATATATATATATATATATATATATATATATATATATATATATATATATATATATATATATATATATATATATATATATATATATAACTTCTTTTTTGAAAATACTTGAAGATAAATTTTACAGATCAGGATCGATATCGATAATATCATCATGATATTGTCGAAATCGACATAGCACTCCATCTTGTATATGGTATCAAATATTTCCAATTTAATAGTACCGAACAGGATCGATTTCGTTACAATAATGACATATTGTCAATATCGACATTGATTTGTTCTTAGCCATGTATGTTTCTGACCAAGTGATTCTTGAGAAGAAATTTTAAAGATAATTCATATAAATTTGAATGTTTATTAAATTTGATCCCCTCTTGTCGTCCCAAAAAAAACCCAGGGATCATAATTTGAACAATTTAGAATCAATTCCTCAGGAAGATTCCGAATAAGTTTCACCTTTTCTGGCCCAGTGATTCTTGAGAAGAAGATTTTAAAAGATTTTTCTTAAATATTTCAATGTAAAAAATTATCTTTGATTGTGGTCCCACGTTTCCTCGAGGGTCATAATTTGAACAATTTGGAGTCAACATTTCATCAAAATGCTTCACATAAGTTTTCTGCCCGTATTGTGAACCAATCTTACCCCGGGGGTCATTATTTGAACAAATTAGAATCTTCACTTCCTTAGGAAGCTTCAAATTAATTTTCACTTTTTTCTTGGGAATATCTTTAATGACCCCACTCTATTTTTGCCTTTTCTTGATGATTTCCCCTTGAAAGCGGGATTGGCTGTTCATTTGACCAATTTAGGACCCCCTTTACCCAAAATGATTCGTGCCAACTTTGGTTAAAATTAGCAAAGGTCTTCTTGAAAAGAATTCGAAAGTTTACAGAAGGACGGATGGACAACCGTTGAATCTCACTTGAGCTTAAAGCTCGTGTGAGCTAAAAAGCAAAAGTTCACATGTGAAATAATGTTTATCATTATACATCGTTATAATAATTCTATAAAAGGTGTCTGATTGGTCTAGAAAGTTAGAAACTCACATAATTGGGAGAATAAATTGTTGAGTATTCAACCTCGAACAATCACTCATCTCGGGCAAAGCCCTCAGGATATATAATCAATCTTGGCTGAATTAATCTTCATATTTACCCTACGATCATGCAATTTATGTATTTTATAATAGTTTCCTGACATCAGTATTAAAATCCCTATTAGAAAAATTAGTAAACTAATTGATCTCGAAGAATTAGAGGTCTTTCCACAATTAATATAATATATATTATATATATAAATTTAATATATATTTTTTTTTTAAACTCTGAAGGACAAATTTTATGAAAAAGAAACCAGAAATGGCTTAAAAGATTTAAAATAAAAATAATATTTCAAAGAAATTAAAGCAGCTTTGACATTTGACCATGACAAAATTTTCCAAAGTGAAAGGTCATGGATCACATTGCAGTTGGTCCCATGTTTCTACAACTATTTATTGAAAAGTTTGCAATAGGCGAAACACATAAAAAGGGCAATAACTCACATAAGGAGCCACAAGATCCTTTCGCACTGAATAAATTGACGTCTTTTCTTGTCAAGCTGAAGACGTCAGTGCAGGTTTGGTGTCTATATGGTGTACGGTTTTGAAGGAGTTGAGATAGCAAGGTTTCTGGTGAGAGGGGAAACAACTTTGAAAGGGTTCAGACTTAAGGTTCAAGATAATAAATTTAAAATTGGTTTAAAAGGACTTATATACGATACATTGGAATATATCATATATTTAAAGATACAAAAATAAATACAAAAAGAGCTGAGTTTCTCATACTTTGAACGACCTTGATCATTAACCTTGATATAAATTTTAAGGTCAAAGGTTGGAGACTCCAATACAATAAGTCCCATATCCCTATGATTAAATGTTCTAAAATTATTTTAAAATTATTTGTAAACATTAAAACTTTCAGGATAAAAAACTCATAAAAGGGTTCAATGAATCCTTTCATAATGATAGATTGAAGTGTCTTCTAAATTAGTCGAAGACATTGGTGAAGAATCTGTATCTCTACAATTTACAGTTTAGGAGGAGTAGCAAAAACAAGGTTTTTCGTGCAAGGGGCAAGAACTTCATAGTTCATAGTCACTGGGTCAAATCTCTTCATGAATTTTAATGAACACGATGACATGGCAAGATATATCATATTCTTTACCATAGACAGACAACGCATATTGCATTATGGCATTTTTTTTATGTGTACAAAATAAATCAACTTAAATTTGAGGCGAAGTTTGAGTTATTAACAGGTCTTCGGCAAAACACTTTGAAAAAATTACGCACCTTGAAAAATTTTTTCAATGTGCATTAGAATTGGGTCAAATTTAATGCACTTTGAAAAAAAATTGTTTTCATATAAACGTTTACTTTTTAAACTTTACCTTCAATAATATCTTCTGTAAAATCTTTGTATGTTCCAACTATGGGTCTCTCTAGATTAAGTTCTTCCATCAGTTCAGATCCTATAAAATGTAGCTACATATAATTCAGTATAAACAAATTGCTACATTCTGGAAATTTCTAGACATCATTCAATATTCATATCTCTTTACTAAAATTTAAAATATCAAGTTCTTATAATACAAAATATGTTTCTTTACATTACGAATAAAACGTATATTTATCATTTTATGAGTAATAATAATAAAAATAAACATTCCTGTTATTAGATATATTAATGTCTGGGATCTTAAAAAATATTTGTCAGTGAAAAACATTCTTTTTTTCTAGTCCATAATATTCCTTTTTTTCAAAATGACTACGCATATTTCCTTACTTTTAGTAATAAAGGCAGAAAACTCATACCTTGGAAAACTTTTACTGTAGATGTTTTCCACGTGACAATTTCTGGATGTATTTGGAAGATACTTAAGAAATTTTTATTCAGTAAAAGTTTTGATATACATTTGATAAAATCCACATCTCTTGTCTTGAAGTCATTTACAAATCTTTTAAGGCTGTTATCATCATCAAAATATAAAACAAGACTAATACATCCTTTTTCTAAAATACTTTTTGTTGCATCATATTTATCCTGGACAGATAAAAGCAATTGATACATTTCTGCCCCACAAGGAATTAACCTCTTCTGAATGTCTGGATCCTCAGCCAATTTTGTGATAAATGTTTTCAAAAGAACTCTGTCCCCAACTTCCTGAATTTTATTAATTGTGTTATCCACTTGCTCTGTGATGCTTTCCTTTGTCCAGCCTTCGTTTGGCTTTTTTAAACTCTCTATAAGAAAATTAACTGCGGTCTCCAATAATTTCCTCTTGTCTTGTACTTCCATAGAAACTTCTGCTTTTACCTTAGCTTTTTTTCTGTTTTCTAGAAAGAAAAAAACAAAATAAAATCATCGTTGGTGGACGTAATACTAGAATAGAACATCGATAGTCGATATTCAATCCAGAGCAATGTTTTACAGGAAAAATCATAGTACCTAAATAAAAAGGATGTTTAACCTAAATAAAAAGGATGTTTAACTTAATATATTCAATCAGTTTGCTCTCAATATCGTTTTGTAATAAACTGGGAATCGTTTAAGGCTGTTGGGACCAAGCTTGATTGTGATTACCAGTGGTATATATCATTAATTTAAACTTTTTTCACCACTCCATCAAACAGAAAGTGAATTATTACAGCAAAACAAACTGCTTCACCTAATAATCAAAATATCTTGAAAAGTCAAAAAGATTTTTTCTCTCGAAGGGAGATTCAGGATGACAAGAGGCTCAAGTACCATAAATCTCACCTGAGTCATCAAGCTTTTCCCTCTTTAATTACAAGAAAAATTTTGCCAGCACAATTATGGCCCCACCCTAGCCCCCATGGGTTATTGCATAACTGACCATGAATCTACCTGACATGAGGACGCTTTAATACAAATATGACTTACATGGCTTTATCGTTCTGAAAAAGAAGATATTAAAGATTTTTTCCCTTTATGCATGGGCTATGTTGATTTTGAATTTAGATTCTAACCTAACCCTACGCTCGCATGGTTAAAAGTTCGACAAAAATGAATCCATACTATTTGGGAATGTTTGCATATTAATGTCATTTAGTGTAGCTCTGGTCTCTACAAAAGCTTTTTAAAAATAATCTCCTAAACAATCCTATGGAAACTTTGATCTCTTCTTGTAGGACTCTACTACTCTGGAAAGCCATGATTTGAACAATCTTGAACCTGGTCGCATACTAAATCACTACCAGTGTAATCATAGGCTAATGATGTTGACAAGATTTTCAAAGATTTACTTCCTATATTTCTTAGAAAAACTTGAACCCAACTATACCCTAGGGGCAATGATTTGAATAAACTTAAACCCAACTACTTGAGGATGCTTAATATAAATTTCTCTATTCTAGACCTATGATTCTGAGACATCGAAAGTAACCACAACAATTAATAAAAAAACCTCCAGTATTTCGACAACAAACGTCTACTCTGTATCCTCAAAATTAAATGGCCCGACACTACATGTATATATAACAAGAGGCCCATGGGTCACATCGCTCACCTGAGCATATTGGCTAGGAAAAATCACAAATCACTTCAGTATTAAAATGTTTAAAGGGGTGGGGGGCTTGGATTTTGAACTACCTGAGGATGCTTCCATATCAATATAACAAATGGCTTTGCTGTTCTTGAGCAGAAGATTTTTAAAGATTTTTTTCCTGTATATTCCCTTGTTAAAAATTTCATCCCTCATTGTAGACCCCCCCCCCCCCCCCATCATTTGAACAAACTTGAATCTACACTACCTGAGGATGCTTCCATATCAATATGACAAAACATGGCTTTGCTGTTCCTGAGAAGAAGATTTTTTAAGTTTTTTCACCTAATATTCCTATGTAAAACTACGATCCCCCATTGTGGCTCCACCCTACCCCCAGGGGTCATGATTTGTACAAACTTGAATCTACTCTACCTGAGGATGCTTACATATCAATATGACAAAACATGACTTTGCTGTTCTTGAGAACAAGATTTTTAAAGTTTCCTATATATTCCTATGTAAAACTTTGATCCCCTATTGTGGCCCCATCCTAACCCTGGGGGTCAAGATTCTAACAAAGTTAAATCTACACTATCTGAGAATGCTTCCATATCAATATGACTTAAGAAGGCTTTGCTGTTCTTGAGAAGAAGATTTTTCAAGTTTTTTTTCTGTATATTCCTATGTAAAACTTTGATCGCCCATTGTGGTGCCACCCTACCCCTAGGGGTCATGATTTGATACAAACCTGAATCTGCACTACCTGAGGATGAATCCACATCAATATGACTAATTGTGACTTTGTTGTTCTTGAGAAGAAGATTTTTCAAGATTTTTTTCTATATATTTCTATGTAAAACTTTGATCCCCATTGTGGCCCCACCCTAACCCTGGGGGTCATGATTTGTACAAACTTTGATCTACACTATCAGAGGATGATTCCTTATCAATATGACTAATTGTGGCTTTGTTGTTCTTGAGAAAAAGATTTTTTTCTATAAATTCCTATGTAAAATTTTGATCCCCTTGTGGCCCCACCCTACCCCCGGGGGTCATGATTTGTACAAACTTGAATCTACACTACCTGAGGAAGATTCGATATCAATATGACTAACTGTGGCTTAGTTGTTTTTGAGAAAAACAATTTCAAGATTTTTCCTACATATTTCTATGCAAAACTTTGATACCCATTGTGGCCCAACCCTACTCCCTGGGGGTCATGATTTGAACATACTTAAATCTGCACTACCTGAGGATGATTCCATATCAATATAACTAATTGTGGCTTTGTTGTTCTTGAGAAGAAGATTTTTAAAGATTTTATTCTATATATTCCTATGTAAAACCTTGATTCCCCATTGTGGTGCCACCCTACCCCCAGGGGTCATGATTTGAATAAACTTGAATCTACACTACCTGAGGATGATTCCATATCAATATGACTAATTGTGGCTTTGTTGTTCTTGAGAAGAAGATTTATAAAGATTTTTTTTTCTATATCTTCCTATATAAAACTTTGATCCCCCATTGTGGCCCTATCCTACCCCTAGGGGTCATGATTTGAACAAACTTGAATCTACACTACCTGAGGATGATTCCATATCAATATGACTAATCGTGGCTTAGTTGTTCTTAAGGAGAAGATTTTTAAAGATTCATTCCTATATATTCCTATGTTAAACTTTGATCCCCCATTGTGGCCCCACCCTACCCCAGGGGGTCATGATTTCAACAAACTTGAATCTACACTACATAACGAAGGTCTCAAATAAGTTTCAACTTTTACAGCCCAGTGGTTCTTGAGAAGAAGATTTTTAAAAGATACCACCAAATTTTCACTAATTATTAATTATCTCCCCTTAAAAGAGGGTGTGGCCCTTCATTTGAACAAACTTGAATCCCCTTTACCCAAGGATGCTTTGTGGCAAGTTTGGTTGAAATTGGCCCAGTGGTTCTGGAGAAGAAGTCGAAAATGTGAAAAGTTTACAGACGGACGGACAGCTAGACAGACAGACGGACGACGGACAAAATGTGATCAGAAAAGCTCACTTGAGTCTTCGGCTCAGGTGAGCTAACAAACCTATGGGACAGAAAAAAAAAATCAAAGTCCTATCAACATAGACAAAGAAGAGAAAATGGAGATGGATCGGCTACACACTAGAAACCACCAGACATCACAAAGCAGGCTCTTAAATAGGAGGAGGGTTGGGAGACCCACGCAAACCTGGAAAAGATCCCTAGAATGTGGATGTTTAAAATTGATACTTTATTACTTATACAAACTATTGTAACTATATATGGAAAAATATATTTAAAGAATCACTGTTTAGCTTGAGGGGTTTGTCAGGGCATCAACAATAGTTGTAAACGTGGGATAATTTGCATAAGGTTGAAGCGAGATCTAACAATAATAAACAATCATTAATTCTTGGTACAATGACACGTTGCGTCAATGGATTGTATCTCGATGGAAGTGACAAAATTACTCACCCTTATCTGGAAATGTCTTCTTTAAAAAAACATTTACGTAATCATAAATAAATGTGTTACGGACCATATAATTTTAAATATAAATACCTTGATACCGTGGTAATTGTACTAATTGTTTCTTCTCTTCTGCCATTCTGTCCGTATTTTCCCCTAGAAATGAATCAAAATGAAATGTTGCACGTGTTTCAACTAAATCGAAAGATTCTTTTCTATAGATTTGTTCATATTCCTAGATGTATATAATAATATTTCGAAATTTCTATAAGGTTGCTGAAAATTACAATTATATTATACACCTATTTACTGGCTATGAGAACAAGACAGCAACTACTTCCTGAGGATCAGCCGAGTGAAATAGTTGCTGTCAAGGGGGACGATAAACTTGCTATTGTCCGAATAGTCAGTAAATAGGTATTTTATTATACGGAAGCCCACTTTACTTGTGTAACATCACAATCGGATAAAACCAGAAGAGTTCCGAAATTAAAAGCAAGGGAAACGGAGTACTGCTGGTGAATAGTTTAATTACTATGGGCAAAGAGCAACCAAAACTATTCCACGGTAGGATTGTTTGGAAAAAAGCAGTTTTATTCGTCTTATTTTCATACAAAAAAAAATCACAGAGGTATTATAAAACTAATTCAATCTGATATTAAGAAAATGCATGCAAGTGAAGACATCTTTTCTTATAACATGAAACTGAAATTAAAAAATCAAACAAAGTGTTAATTTTACTTGTGCAACATACATGTACCGTACAAGACAACCAGAGTATATAAAACGAATGTTCAATATATGCTAAATATATGAACGTTTATCTATTAGATATATACATGTATTTCAAACTTATATTCTTGATACGTTTGGGTATGTGAAGTTTCGCAGATATGTTATTTGACAAGTATTTTAAGAACCAGTTAAACATGCCTTTTGCCCATTTCTGATACCAAATACATAAAATTATATTTGAAACAACTGAAGCATATACTTTTATTTTACTGAAAAACATCAGATTTCAGTTAACCCGTAAACTTGTACATGTACGTTTAAGTACAGAGTCTCGGCTGTGTATCCAATGTCGACAATAAACCAAATCTGCACTTCAATGACAATTTACATGTTTTTGGCATGTATGATTGATCCTTATAAGAAGACATACAGATATAAACTTTTAATATGTCTTGTAATTATACTGAAAAGTAATATCCATTGATCCTTACCTACTTTCTCAGCAAAGTTGAAAATCAAGTACCTACCGATTTTGAAACAAAGCAACTTTCTTCTTCGAAGAAAAACAAAGGAAATCAGGATCACAGTTAATAGTGCAAGTGCAGAAAGCACACCAAAAACTATCGGAACTCTGAAATGAAAAATGATCTGATATTAATAATATGTATGGTCACAGGGCTAAGAAAACAGACTAAAAAATTCACAAACTGCAAATTATAGCTTTTGGCGGGTTAGAACAATGGAATCTTGTGACGTGTACTTCTAATGATTTTTTTTTAAAGTATATGGCCTTGAATCTTGGCCAAGGTCACCCCAAAATCACAGTTTGTTTTCTAAACTTTTGAAATTTACAGTTGTGGAATTCTGATGGAACTCATTTGAATTTTTTGCTCCCAAATAAATATCTAAAATCAAATAGAATATAGGGAAATAAGATGGTTTTTTTTTTTAATTTTTTAATTTTTTTTTAATTATTTTTATTTTTTTTTTTTATTTTTTACAAATGAACAAATGATATGTGGAATTTTTTAGCACTGATCTAATTATAATGTGTTTAATTATAATTTTTCTAATTTCAACAATGGAATAACCATACAATCTTTACTTCAAAATATACAATTCATTTTAAGCCGCTGTCTGGAAACAATGGTAAAAAAATAAAGTAGGAGCTATTGAATATTTAAGAAAGAAATCACAAAATTCATATATATTAGTTGATAGAGGGGCTTCTGAAATGGCCGATGTGAGTACCTTATAGAACTGAACTTATTGCTGCCTCATGACCTACATGTAAGGTTTTTTTTAAACATTGAGTTGATTTTTTTTTTTGATTAGGTAATATGTTTATCATTTTTCTTCTGCTTTGAATTCAGTCTTAATTAGAAAAGAATGCATTGATATTGAATTATGCCAGCTCTAATATGTTTTTTTTAAGGTCCAAGTCGTCATTTCTTACGCGCATATGAAATGTTACATTTGTATTAATGCATAAGAAAAACAAAATATTGACTAGTTGAAGATATCTCACTCAGCAAAAGAATGATTTTTGTTTCCCGCTTTCACAAACGCGGTGTCATACATGTAACATCTGTCCGTTTTTTTGACTACATGTCACAAATAGTTAACCTTGCTCACTTTGAATGAAGGGAAGTAGGGTTTTATGCTAAACATTTGCATTGCCCGAGACAAAAACCTCTCCAATCGTTTTATGATATCTGACCAGTTTGACTCCAACCAATAACACTCCCAAAAGCAGGGGACCAAGGTTCTCCGAATTGCTTTTATTGAAAAAATGACAAGAGTCCATCCTTAAACAGGCTTAGACGAATTTATATTATACCTTAAGGAGAAGACATTTATAGCTATGTACAGTTTAAAATTACTCAGTGAACTTTATTGACACTTACACCTTTTGTCGATCATTTCGTGCAGGAATTACACTTTTCTTTGTACTTCCTAAATTTTCCCTGCAAAGTAAAATGAATGATTCAAATGTACTTGGCATTTCCTCTAATCATTAGTCTTCTAGTTCTAAAAACCGTCTGATAAAGATACTTAGCTTATGTTTATCAAAGTAAAATGAATAGGATTAGTCACATAAAATTTTGTTTTAGATTTCTAAATAATATTCCATAAGTAATTAAAAAAAACATATATTTATACGGGACAGACTAAAAAGTGAGAATTTTGAGATTTCTAAATAATATCACATGAATAATAAAAAAAAATACATATATTTATTTGGGACACAAAAAATTGAGCATTTTGAGATTTCTTAATAATATCCCATAAGTAATTAAAATAACACCAAAAAACATATATTTATACGGGACACACCAGAAAGTGAGAATTTTGAACATGTAGGAAAACTATAATTTGTTAATATGTTTGGAGTTTGATAATTGCATCATTTACATGTACATCCAAAATATTTCCAAAAGTCTATCCCGGTCAATACATTCATTCTGTAGCAAGCATACGTAATTATTTTTGTATACATATTCTCCTTTACACTAGAACTATCTTGTATAATATCAAGTTAATAAGTCTGCAATATTAGAAACCTACATAGATGTTGTAGTTAAGGTTGAAACAGTCGTTGAACGAACATCAAAACACCCAGGATCTACAGGAATAAAAAAAAAGGATTTCATTTATTTTCTACAGTTTCATGCAGTATGTTATATCGTAAATATCTGAATTATTAAATAATGTCTATCAAACATATGTACATTGTACTTAATTAGGGGATAAATGATAAAATATGTACCTTTGGTGGAAAATAATGTTTAAGACACTTCAATTTAATTTGAATATACATGTAATTGGAAGATTCGACATACAGTAGTAATAGTGAACAAAGTGATTTTTGTTTCTATTTTGATTTACTTACATTTATACGTTTCAGTTGAATTGTAAGATATTGGACATGGCGACGAAAAATTCTGACATTCCAAACCGTCCACTCTTATGATACCCTTGAGATTTTCATCAAACTTAGCACACACTTTATCTAATTGTGAAGTTCAATGAAGGAAATTAAAGAAATGCATTTGCACATAGCTTGTTAAATGTAAAACAGAAGAGATGAAAGTTATAAGGTGCTATATTATTTAGATATCATTACGTGGAATCATTTTATTATCAATTATTTATACTAAATATTTCGTCAGAGATAAATACCAAAAATATAAATCGATGTTGCACAGACTTCCACCAACCCATTTAATTCTGAATTTAAAACACAATGGTACTGGACTCTTTTTTTGCATGAATCAGAAATAGAGCTGCAGTTCTTCATATCTGCTGCCTTCTCATACGATTCTTTGTCTGTCGGACATTCAGTTACGTTTTTCATGGTCAACAAAGAGGCATCGCAGCTTTCCGTATAGGCGTCCGTCCATGAAACCTTAATAGCAATCAAAAATAATAAATAACCTTTATCAAATGAGCCCAAAAAATCTTAAACAATTTACAATAATTTGCTTTGACAAGTCTAATAATATTTTTAGAAGATAAATAAGAAACCTTGATGTTGCCAGCAAAAGTCGCCCGGAAAATATACAACGAAAAAACTCCCAGACTTTTATATATTCTGTTGTATACAGATGTAGGTAGGTATATAAATAAATGTTTTAAGGGGCATATCAATGTCACCACTGCAAAGCTTTAATAGCCTGGTCCCCTGGCTCATCCTTGCCAAGGCAGGAGAGCCCCTAGTGACGCGGAGTACACGAAGCTAAACAGGGACAGGGAACCAGGCTAAAGCTTTAAACTACATGACTTCATCCAAACGCTCGTCCCCGATGGCGGATGCCGAGAGTCTGGTTAAACATGTTATTAAAAAACTTTGAAGACTCCTAGAAATATTTTTTAATGGAAAAAATGAAACTGCTATTTGTCGTTTCATATCTTTAAATGCATAAAAAATTGAATGAGAAGAAGATATATATTAAAATAAAAAGTTGATTAAATAGGAAAGTCGGGTACGGGAGACATAGACAGACATACATTCTTTATTTCCCCTACATGATTAAGATTAAATCCATTATAAACATAATGAAAGGCGTTTAAATTAAACATAGCATACATATGTAGATATGAAGCATAAATTAGAATTATAATGTACAGGAGCAATAAAAAATGCTCATGTATAAAATACATAGCGAAATTTGCCTTAATTCAGGAGTGTCGCCGTCTGGGGGGGAAAAAAGTATCTACATGTATGTTTATTTATAATATAGAGTTTTCATGACTTTTCATGTCGACGTCATTACTGTGATGCAAGTGGACACCAACAACGTACGTTTATGATACATGTAAGCAAATTTATATCTTAGATCAGGGAACAAAGCTATTTTAACATGAATTCGATGGAAGTTAATATATGGCATGCTTAATAAATGATATTTTTAAAAAAATATTTATAATACGAAAGTCTGATAAGGTGTACGTTTTTCTTTTTTTTTTTTTTTAATTTATTTTTTATTTTTTAATTTATTGTTCTATTGTTCTAGGGAATAAAAAAAAAAAAGCTGTCAGTTTGAATGTACAAGTGTAACAAGCATATAATTAGCAAAGCTAGATTCAGATCAGAAAACATCTCTTTATTATACATGAACATGATGATATACAAGGCTCCTAATTGCATATTTTAAAATGATCAGATTTTATTTAAAAAATCGATCTTATATATATATTTTTTTTAAAAATAAAGATTTAGTTTAATTCTTAATAACTGCCTTCGTCAAATTCTTCATCGCTCTAACCTCGCAATCTCACATATTCATACACCTGTCCTCGATGGCAGTTCAGCTTTATAATTTAGACATTTATAAAGACTTTAGTATATTTGTAAAGTGCACTATGGAGATCATTGCTGTCATTCAGAACGTTTCTCGAAACCAGTCCCATGGTTCCTTTAGCATGTTTAGGTTTTGCTGCAAATCCCATGACTTTTAGATCTGATTCGGAGCATTTAGTTAGGGAAAAAATCTTGGAGACTTTGAATCTGAAAACGACTAAAATGTCTAAAACTTATTTGTTAGTAAAGATAGCAAATTGAAACCTTACCATTAGAGAGATCATAAAACACATGCTCACATGTAGTACCATATTTAGAATGTTCGTTTGATCTAAAATAAAAAAAAATCACACTCATTATACATGCAGAATATATCAAATTTATTTTGTAATTTAAAGGGTGAGGGGCTATATTTACATATTATTGAAAATTACATTATTTTTTACACGGTTCTGTATTATGGGATCTAGTACTATCCAATTATAGCCATAAATAATCATAAAGCAACATCTTAAACCTACTAAAAAAGTAACAGAAAGTTGCAAAAAAGAAAGTACATACATCAATCTACATCTGATTCCAGAGAAACGTGTGAAAAACAACTGAACAAAACTAATACTGAATATTTATATTCTTTTTTCTAACTTTCATTCATTACATGTATATTTAAATTTTCTGCATAAATAAGGACTAAATCACTATTTAATTATAGCTTACATGAAAAAATACCTTACTTTTACTGACCATTTGAGATATATTGTCAAATTGTCATCCACACTGAGTGTTTTCATTCACTCATGACTTTGGAATCCGACACTGAGTAGAAACGGCAAAATCGAAATGATGAAGATTTACTTTTCCGGAAGGTCCCAAAACTGTTAATGAGGTGGTGGAGCTGCATCTTGAAAATTTAAAATAAATACAATTCATATGATATCACGTAATTTGGTTATCTTATTATAATATTGTATTAATTTTATTTTTAAAAAGTGGCTTTAGGAAAGATGATCCAAGCATAGAATATGACTCCTTCGAATAAATTAAGTATTTATTTACAAATTAAATATTTTATATAATTATAAAACTCTGAGTTTCATTTTGTTTCATATCAAAGAAAGATTAAGAAGCTGTTTGATCATACACCACCATCATGATCCGCCTCTGCATTTTTAATCGTTAGGACCTTGTTAAATATTGTAATCTAAGCAGCTAAGATTAATCTTATCCGACAAATTATAGAACTTTCACAATATCATCAAAGTAAGCTCAAGGCAGACTAAGAGCTAAAGCAGGCTTCGTGAACTGTAAAAATCTGAACACACACCCTTTTAATATTAACATGAGCCGACACAGAAGAGTTCTATTTACATGATTTATTTGCATTTCTTACTGACAAGCATTTTTATAATATTATTGACATTGTTCATATAAATCAGCAGAATGATATGAATTAGTATTTATGACAAAAATATTGTTTACAAAACACAAAAACAAAACCAATATAACACTTACAACGAATGACTCCATTCTTTGGTGGCATATAGACTTCGATGTTTAAAAATAAATTCTACTTTCGATTTGCTTTGTTGGATTTTTTAAATCCGCCTCACGTCAAGGGTCCTGAGTCAACTCAAAGCGTTTCGAGAATGGAGTTCAATTTATTAGTATATTTTCAATTATTTGGAGCCATGCATTTGGAAACTAAGACAATAGTGGATTTCTGGGGGGAATGGGGGGGGGAGGTGTTCTTGTCGACCCTAATTGAAAACACCCCCCCCCCCAAAAAAAAAAATCAGAAGAAGTAAATAGAGAGAGAGAAAGAATCGTTTGTATACATATCGATGCTCCTCAGCATTCAACCAGACCATTCCAAGGTTTGTTTTTTTTTTTAAATTTTTAAAAAAAAAATTTTTAATTATATGTAACGGCCATCCCATAATCAAACACTTATCCTTCTTTCAAGTATAAAAACACAGTTTAACGGGATAAACACAACAATGAAAATAATGGTCAAGTTTATTACATGTACATGTTCATGTATATTTATTCAAGAATTTTCTTTTTATTGTAGCAAAAATAACTAATAAACAGTCTCTAGATCTGATCTTATGCCTTTAAAAGAATCTCAAATAAGATTAATGATATGTTGATCACAATAGATTTGAAAGCGGTTACAATTTTTGTAAGTGTAGGTATTTTGTGTTTTTAACCTTGAAATTTAATGGCCTTATAAATATATCTGGAGTAGACAGCTAGGGAAAGAAAAATATGAAGTTATTTTTTTTTAACTCTCTTCACATCATCGGCATTTTTTATTTTAAAAATTTTAATTTTAAATTTTTTTTTACCTTGATCTTTCCTTTGACCTTGACCTTTCTTTGACCTTTAACTCACTTTTCTAAAATTAGTTTCAAACTTGATATGCCGAAACATATTGATGTACATGTAAGCTATTCAACAGCATCAACATTTTAGACCTTGACCATTTTATTTGACCTTGATCTTACTTTTCTCAATTTGTGTTTAACTCAGTTTTAAAGAAACCATTCATAATATTTTTATCAAACTTCATATGCCAATTACATACGGATGTAAGTTTTTCAACTGCATCAACATTTTACGACTTTAACCTTTTCATTTCAACTTAACTTCATTTATTTTAAATTAGTGTTTAGCTCTGCTTTAAATAAACCATTCAAAATATTTTTATCAAACTTAATATGCTGATACATGTACGTATTTGTGAGAACTATTCAACTGCATCTAAAAATGTTTGACCTTGAACTTTCCTGTGACCTTGACCTCACTTTTCTTAAATTTGCATTTTGCTTAGTTTTAAAGAAATCATTTAATATATATTTATGTAAGCTTATGCACTTATACATAATTTGATGAGAATTTATCATCCATATCCAACTTTTAGATTTCAATTTTAAAGAAACTATTCAAGATATTCTCATCAAATTTCATACACTAATACAAATCATGTTGCATTACTAATATACCCTCGGCGGGGCATTCATGTCCTATGGACATATTTCTAGTTTGATTTGTTTCTTGGTTGTTACACTTAAAAATGAACTTAAACATTGTTTTTCAGAACTATTTTAAAAATTCAGTTATTGAGCTTATACAAAACTACTATAAATAGAACGCGTATCACATCCGTGTACATGTACATTACGTGCAATGAACTCAGAACTTCGTTACTAGGGCCCTCTACAATATGTCAACGTATTGAAGAGAAATTTTTTCCAATTTAATTTTTTCTGCCTTCACCATAAACTTGTAAACATAGAAGATTTAAAATAGTATTAAATTGTATATTAGGAAAAGTATCAACAACAGAAAAAATAATATAACGTATTTTATATGTGGTTACGCTACGTTGTCTCAAACGTGTAGCGTATTAGGGCACATTGAGATCACACGCACCTGACAAATGGATGGTGTAACAACCACCCCCCCCCCCACCCCCGCTTCTGATAATTTTTATTAGACACAACAACTTATCAAAAATACATGAATTCCTACTCTATCATTCCTATATTTCGATATCTGATATCATTTCCCGCTTTTGTTAAGTTAAGGAGATTGGCCCTATACGGTATATAAAAGTACTAAAGGTAAGAAACAAAATCATGTAAGCACACAGGGTGCCCCGCTTCGAGGGGGTTTTTCAATTAATAGAACATAAATGAAATTTATGCAAGATGTAGTTCAGGGGGATGTCGTTTTACAAGTCTCTTACAGTCACACTCGGTCAAAATGATTTATTTGTCCTAAATTCGCGGTTATTTATCCAATTTCCGTTGACTGGCATTGAAAGAGGAGGCCATCAAGTACTACTTTGTTTGGCGTAATGAAAATTCCAGAGATATTTAATCGGATCTCCTTGGATGTTTTCCACAACCTACAATAAAATCCTACTCTGTCAGGTGCCTGTGATTGAGACAAAAAATAAAATATTTTTAGCCGTATTCAGTATGTCAAAGACCTTTGGCAAAGACCTTCATAAACATGACCGACATGTAAAAATGAGCATATTGAGGCACATGTCGGAGGTATCGATGGAATAGCGCATAAAGAAAAAAGTGCTTACTGATTATGTGATAGATACAACAGATCACGTCTAATTGTTATTTATTTTTGACGCATGAATTGACTGTAATTATAATTTCTCGGCATTGATTTTGGATTTTCAGCATGTGAAAAATGACGTAACAATCGCATTCGTTCGTGAACAAACAGCGCGGAGTTTCCCGAAAGTAACGGAGTTAGGGTAGTGACGGAGTTAAGAGTTTGCCGATGTATAGAATGCAAATTTCAAAAATTAAAATATATATATATATATATATATATATATATATATATATATATATATATATATATATATATATATATATATATATATATATATATATATATATATATATATATATATATACATCATATATTTCATATATTGAGATAATAATAGCATGAATAGTTTTAATCCTGATTCATACTGCATCTGTCCGCCGAAACATGGCTGAAATATTGCCGACTCGGCGTTAAACAATAGACAACCAATCAATCATACTGAATCTGCTGCAATGCAGACACATTATTACTTGAAGCTATATCTGGTTTTCTAAATCGAATAACGTTGCCTATTGATCAAGTTAGACAGTTATCGATTTGAGCTGACGCTTGATTATAAATAGTAATCCTTAAAACCAACTAGCTGTAGAACTGTAGGGATTTTTTTGTCTCGTCTTGACAGTAATGCCACAAATAGGTGAGTGTGTAATTTAGCTTTTTCCTCAAAATTGTCAGCTTATTTGTGAAAAATACATATATCTCAAGACCTTTTTACACGAATTTCAACAAAAGTTAAAGAAAGGAGTATGCAATTTATCATACATTTGAGGGTCAAGATCAAAAGCCAAGGTCAAGGTTAGAGTTTCTTCCTATCCTGTCAATGTGGTAGATATGTCTATCATTAGACCATTTAACCTGAGACTAGTTACCACAGGGACTTGAATCAATCTTAGCAAAATCGGGTATACTATATACCCGATTTTGCTAAGATTGTCTCAAGTCCTTATGTACGGAAGCCGGCTGGTGCCAGGTAAAAAAAAAAAAAATTATCTGGCGGCCGCCACTTAATTTTCTGGCGGCCGCCAAATAATTTTCTGGCAGCCGCCACTCAACCGGCTTCCGTACTTATGCTAGTTACAGAGTTAGAAAATGAGAACAGGAAAACGCCCATTTATTCGAGTTCTAAAATTAAGTTACTGCGAGTTTGTGACATTGATTCAATGGAATCTGAAGAAAAAAGAATTAAGAGATAAGATTTATTATCAACTTTTTTTCCCTTTTTTCCCCTCAATCAATTTTTTTTTATCCCTGAGAAAAATTAATGATGTAGGCTACAGCTTTTTTGCCTATGGAATATACGCCACTGTGAGGATTAAAAAAATAATGCACAAGGGTATGAGGGGTGGTAAAAATATTTCGCAAACTAGTTCAACAGCTTAATAAAATGATTCAAATTGGATTCCCGTGTTAAAGTTCCTTTTTACATGTAAATGTAACCAACAGCTCCTAGCTAAAATGCCATAAACACTGATTTGTTTTTATGTATAGTAGTAATTTATTTTTAGCATTCAGATTGAAACACTTCCTGCTTATGTAATCGTCTTGTTCCTGATTATTAAGAATTTTTAGGAGAGGTCATACATTATTAAAAATACTTAGGAAAGATCGTGAAACTTTCAGATCCTGAAAGTGCCTTTTGTTGAAGATTATAGGTGCTACAAATAAGATGTCTCCTCATAAGCAGCTGATAAGAGCTTATATTTACTTTTCATATTCTATGCTAATGTTTATCATGAGATAAACAAAAGGAACAAAAATGATAACCATGCTACCTATATTTCAGTGTTTGACCAATTCAGAAGATTCAAATGTTTAAAATCGCCTATGGCTAGAGAGTTTTGCCTGTAGTTTGCAATATTTAGAATAAAAATGTTTTACAATTTTGTTGATATAATCATAAATTTCTTATATCAATTTGGATTACAATTATAATTACCTGCATCCAGACTCAGTTCAAATAACCTAAGTAAAGATTAAAAATATTTTTTTTTAATTAAACACTGTTTTATGAAGATGATTTTTTTTCTATAAGTGCACATAACACGTTCTCTCTGAAAAGATAGATCTATTTTACATCTTTTTGTAAGTGACTCATTTGTTAAGATGAAAAGAAAGTTTATTAGTTCATGTGTTTTGAACAGCTTTTGCATATAATTTAGTCTGCTTCATTAAGTTCAAAATTTTAGAAAAGTTCAATAGATTTATTAAGCACATGTATCATTACCTTCTCCATCTTAAAAACGTACAGATTCTTCTTCTAAAGATTCCTATACGACATCATTATCTAATTCAATCATATTAGATGGAATTTGCTTCCTGAAATCTTAGATTTATACCTATTTAAGGTATTTCTATATTATCTGAGGGGATTTTTTTTTTTTTATTAAAGTCCATCTTCTGGATATGTAAGCAATACTTGTGTGAAACAAACATTCATGTGTATCACATACACGGAACACGGAAGAAATTCAATTATCTTTCGACTTGACGGTTTAATTATTCCCCTTTTCCCATGAAAAAATCATAATGCAAAAAGCGCGATAGTTAATTTAAGTTCGTTTATTTCGATTTTAAACATGATATACTTGTACAATGACAATAAATACTACAATTTTTTATCAGATTATTTGTGACATAAACGCAACTTTTATCAAATACAATGATCAATCCCAGTTCTATGTAGTCGCCCGCGTGGCGCAGGTCTTGGTTAGAGCGTTCGCTCCAGAGTCGCGGAGCAAAGAATTGTTCCTTACGTCGCGGGTTCGAATCCCACTGCGGGACATGGAGACCGGTCCTTCGAATGAGACCATAAAAACCGAGTTCCGGTGTCGCAGTAGGTGCTAGCACAAAAAAGTTCCTTCACTACTCAATGACTCTAAGTGACGAGTATAGGTCTATAATTTGAAGCCCACGACCGGCATGTGGTGGCGTCTAAATATGAGTGAAATATTATTGAAGGGACGTTAAACATTTTCAAACCATGCAACCAACCTCGTATGTAACGGATATGAGGTGTTGGGTTTTTCCACAAGATTGTTTGTCAAGTGTTATTTTTGGGAATTTTAAAATTCACTTCCACAATTCTTGAGGAGATCTCGAGGAAGAAATGATGGCAACGTAATTATGGTGATGGTTTTTTTTTTCACAGAAAGGCAGGTAAGTTAATGTAATAATAAATTCATTATCATATTCCTGTCAGTTTGTCTCTATATAATCAATACCCAACTATTTTTGCACCAACGCTGGAGATCAAACTAACGGCTCATGCACCGCGCGTGTGTCAAACCATGACTACTATTTCGGCTTGGTACATCTAAATAATAACACTATTACATATATAATTGGCACAGGGTACCATGCGTTTCATGTACATGTACAAGTAGATTACATTTTTGAAATAAACTTTCTTATGTAATTAATTTGAATACAAGGAACAGGGATGTATGACAGGAAAAGGATGTAAAAGTTTTTAGATATAATCTTTCAAACTCTGCTAGATACCGATAAATATTGAGAACTTGATACTTTTCCTTGGACATAACATGGTCTAATATTGTATTGAGGATATGCCAATATTTGATTAAAAATTTAAGAGGATCGGAAGCGCTCCTTCGGTTAGTATGGTGTCCGGATAGGGCCATTTGCAAAAGCTCAACAGCGCGTTCAGAAAAACACGCCGTCGCGCTAACACACAACACGCTGTCACGCTAACACAATTTCGCACAACACGATGTCACGCTAACACAAAACGCGCTGTCACGCTAACACAAGTTCGCACAACACGCCGTCGCGCTAACACACAACGCGCTGTCACGCTAACACAAGTTCGCACAACACGCCGTCGCGCTAACACACAACACGCTGTCACGCTAACACAATTTCGCACAACGCGATGTCACGCTAACACACAACGCGCTGTCACGCTAACACAAGTTCGCACAACACGATGTCGCGCTAACACACAACGCGCTGTCACGCTAACACAATTTCGCACAACACGCCGTCGCGCTAACACGCTTTCAAGCAACACGCCGTCGCGCTAACACACAACTCGCCGTCGGAAATAATCTTCACGGAAATAATTGTCTGCGCATGATCTAAAAAAAAAATGGACGAAATCCTAAAAGAGGTTGCTCTTTTACATTGTAAAGAGTTGTTTGAGGAACATAAGGTAGATTGATTGTAATAATTTGTACATTGAAAAGGATGGAACTATACTGTTTTAATTTTTTTAAAGTTTAAAAAAAATCAAGTAACATTAATATACGCGGGTCCATAACTTCTTTTGAAAAGGGGTGCACCAAGCAAATTTTTTACATGTATATGGACGCGTATTTTTTATCCTTTAGAAAAGGTAACTCGGAAACTTTCATATTAATCAATTCATATAATATGGCTTTTTAGGTCGATATGAGACAGTTTGTCATATTTCTCATACGCACTTGGGGATCGGTAAGGATTTATCAGTACCTTCTCAGGGGCCAAAAATTGGCCCCGCCGGATCCTATTTCAAAAAAGCATGGTTCAAGTTCTAATGTTTTTTTCCCCATTATTATACATATTTTACTGAACAGTACCTATTTAATTCTCTTTAAGAAGCAAAATAGCTCTTTTGTCCGTAAATATTTTCTTATCAACTAATTAATAAAGGTTTTTATTAAGTTTATAGATGGAACATTCTATCATCAAACTGATATTATCCTACAGACACTGTTTAGCCTGACTTTTAAAATGACGTCTTTCCACTTGCATTGCCAAAGTTCTGTAATTTACACAGTTGAATGGTTTTTGATTAGGTGAAAAAAAATTAGGGGATCATGCAGGGAGAGAACAATTTAAAAGAAAGAATTACCACTGGTTAAGTGCCATGAAAAAAGATATATATACTCTGATGAAACTGAATAATATTAAATGACCATTACTGTCTTAGCCACAAGCATTTCGTTAAATATTTTTGAGGTTTACATTCTCAGATGACATGGATGATGAACATCTATCCAAAAAAATCTAAAGTGTATATTCTAGTGTGGGTGTAAATAATGTACTTTGTGTACAATAACTAAAGGGGATGTATGTTTTCCCTTATTTTTTAATTCATTTGTAAATTGTTTAAAATTTATTTTATCAATGATTTAAAGCCTAATTTTTCTTCAAAAGAATTAAATCAAATGTTTGATTGCCAGCTCTATTTAAACATAGAACCCAGACATAAGGGAAACATTAATGCATTACATGTTCTTGAAAAAAAAAATTATCATTCATTTTACTTATTTATTCATATTCCATTTTGTTAATATATGAAATTGAACTGCTTGGGTGACAATTATAGGTTATAGGTGAGTCTATAAAGAAAACTATACTCAGTCACAATTTTGGCTAGGTGGGCTAAATAGTCCTGAGACAGATTATTCTAAAGTTCTTTTTCTTTACCAGAAAAGTGCCAAAAATATATTGGTATATTGTAAACTACAGGTACCCTACGTTTTGTAATTAGGCCTATATATATTTTCTCATTGAGATGAAATTGAGTTTTGTTGTTCCATTTTCATGCAAAACTGATCTTGTGTGATCATAATTTACTCAGTATTGAATTAAATAGCTCTTTTAAGAGAAGTGAATTAATAAGGAGATTAATGTTCTTAATATGTTAATGCTCATACTGAAAAAAAAATGTTCAGATTGATTTCTTGAAAATTGTTCTTCAATTATTGTAGGTTGGACCTAAAGAAGTACTAACCTTGACCGATGCCGAGTTTGAAAAACTTGGAGTATTGACAGTTGGGGACAGAGCAAGATTGAGAAATCGCTGCAGAACCATTGTGCAATGTGTGTAATTATATAAATGTTAGAATATTTGCAGACCTATAACTCATTTTTGTATGATAAAAAGAAAAATATGATAAATCAGTATTAATAATTACACATGAAAACAAAAATTATGCCTTAATATTTGCATTGATTAGATGCATGCTGTTGAATTTGAAACTTTTTTGATATTGCAGTGCCAGACTCTCCCACACTTAGAAAGTTAAGAGAACTAAGCTCTCACCGGAATATACAAAGGAAGCAATTCGGCAGGTCAAATAATATATCCACCACCAGAAGAGTTCATGTTGGTTGGATGATCAAAAAAAAAAAGAAATTCTGTGTACTCGAGAGTCACTGGTGGTAAGGAGGTCATAGATATACATAAAAGTACCACTTTAGCAGAAATGAAGGAGAAATTTCTAGAAATTTATTTTCCAAATGGTGAAAATAAGATACAGGGTCTTCAATTGAAGGACTATAACTATTATATTGGAAACTATGCTGGAGCTCCAATTCAGGACACATTAAGTAATGGAGACCCCTTCACCTTGGAAGGTTATTACAATAAAATAAGAACTTACCCCATCAGATTGTACCTATTTACATCTGCAATCATATCACCAGGGGCGGATGAAGATTCTGTCATTATTAAAAAACAGTCAGTAAGTTAATTAATATATCTACCGGTATTTATGATTATCATTAAAATTGATAAATTTATCCATATAAAAATTCTTATGGTCAATTTCCTTATGATGATATCATGCAAGTTTTTTTTATTTTCTATACTTTTAAATTATTTCTTATTCAGGGAGAACCACAGAAAAAAATCAAATTAGCAAATGAAAAAGTTCTGCAGGTAATTTTGATTTGTCTAGCCAATTGAAATGCAAAATTACTTTCAAGTATTTCAATTAATGTTTGGTGCAGTTATTTCCCTTTTCTATGTCTGCCTGATTTCAGTCCCATGTTTGCAGGAATTTATTTTCCTATAGGCCAGCATTTTTTTTTATTTTTAGGTTTACCGTTGAAATTTTTGAATTAATTTTCAGAAAAAAAAAATGGAGAAAAATGGAATTAAGCGGGTAAGTAGGTAAAGGTAGATCTGCGTAGTCCATAGCAGCATCATAGCTTGGTTTAGTGTAAAATTTATCAATAGGAGTGCCATTCAAAATGTTTCACCCGTTCAGAGGACAAATAAAATGCTGACAACTTTGTTGCACAATGACATGTTGGTGAGATAATTATGTATATGTATTCAAAAGTATCTGCATGTAAGTTAATTTTCTCCCACAGGTTAAAAACTGCCCAAGTTAGCTATAGCCAGAGACATTGTTTAGGTCTCTGCTGTAGGTTACAGTCTAAGCAACATTCTTCAGAATAGGATCACTTATGCATCAGATGTAATGAATAAAACTATGGGAGAAGTGAAGTTGATCATTTGAGGGTGAAATAAACAATAGCCAAAAGAAATGAAGTATTTCAACTATTAAAGAAAACAAGTATATACAAATATATACATGCATGTAGTATCGTCTTTGAATGTGGCAACCAGAAAAAATACTTTACACTTAATTGAAAAAATTGTACCCCTCCCCCCCTTCCCTGTCTGTTATATGATAGGAATATTTACTTAAGGTCGCAAGTATATTTTTAGAACAATTTCTATACAATCACTTGACACACATTTTAAAAAAAAATGAAGATATCTTGAAAGAGTTAAAAAATTTGTATTTTGACCAACATCTCAAAATTTATATCACTGTCCCCAACTGGCAGACAATGAAATAAACAATTAAAGGTCCTACCTTTCTATTTGTAACCATTGTGTGGCAAGTGGCAAGGAGGCTCTGTTAGAAGAGCATCAAAAAAGAAGCAAAAATGAATGTACAAAAGTAGATAATTTATCCAAAAAAAAACATGTTTTATTTCCTCCTCCTATGGAACTTTTTCATTCTGGTGTTTGTAAACCTAAAAATAAAAAAAATGCTGGCCAATTATTAGGATGAGAGTATTGCGATCCTGCAGCAGGAATTTTCTAGTAATTTAGGCAGGTAGTTTTCATATATAGTATAGTAAATTAAGGTTTTCCACCGGATTTTAAAATCCTCTGAGAGTTCTGTTCAAATCCTATCAAGACATACACATAAAGAACATCACACTGTTGTTTTGATATTGGCCTGCTTGGACTGATACCAGTTACAGACAAGATCTAAACAACGGTGTGATGTCAGGTAATATCATCAATTATTTTAATACCATTGTAATTAAGATTTCTTTAAAAGAAGAATATATTTTGTTAAAGAAACCTTACACTTGTTTTTCCGGGTTTTCAAAACTCATTCATTTCTATTTTTATCGTGTTAGGCACTCGCAGAGTTGTCAGACTTGGGTGTCGAACTGTCATCATTTAATGTATGTTAAACATAAAGAACGTGGTCTGGATGCATATAGAATTCAAAATTATCAAGAGAGGAACTTATTAAGTAGCCTCATAATGTGTCAAGTTTCTTCTGTAAATTTGTAAGTTTAATTTTCCCTAGATCACTGCATTTAAATTGATAATGAGCAAGTAAAAAAAAAAATTACAGAAATGTCATACTTTCTAGCTTGTCCATCCTTTTAACTGCTTCGATCATTTTAACTATCTAATGTGAATCAGTTAAGGCTGATACACTACTCAGGCCAAATAAAAAAAATATGTGTTGTTCCGGTTACCCGACCGTCCCTATTTTATACCCCCGACCCTAAACTTTTTTTTGGCAATTTTCATATTTTTTCCAGAATTTTCCCAGATTTCTATCAATGGCTCCGGTTTAAGTTTTAGTTTCAGCAATGACGGCCTCCTTGCAAAACATAGTGTAAGTGTTTAATAGTATTAAATCCAAAGCAAGCTAGCATGTAGGTGTTCCCTACCAATATTGACTAGTATATTATCACACCACATCTAAATGCCACTTGCAAAGGAGTGATGGGTATTATTTAGAAAAATTAAGAAAATCATTTTGTTTAAAAAAAAAAAAATAATAATAATAAAAAAAAAATAAAAATAAAACCTACCTACCTACCCTATTTTTTTTGGAGGTGTAACCGGAACCACACATATTTTTTTGTTTGGCCTCATAGGTATATTATATACTACAAGGAGTTAGTATTTGTCATAATATTCATGCACTGATCAAGAGGTGTACATGTTCTGGACAACGTTATAAAATATATGTAGTAACAAAGCTTATGAGAAATAAATATTGCAGCCCCCCCCCCCCCCCCCCCCCCCCCCCCCCCCCCCGGAAATCCTCCAAACCATTAGTTAGACTACAAGTAGACTTCAATGTTTAAATTAAAGTTTATGTAGGATGTATGCAGAAGAACGCCCTTTATATAGTTACAAACTGCCCCATCCATTTGCCTCATTTTGCATTGTTTTGACCTTTTATTTATTATTTCATTGAACATGTGATGAAAAGTAAAAAATATTTCAGGATGAGAGTGATGATGAATTTGAAAGTCTGCCTAAACTAGTTTTGAGAAAATCAAAGAGAAGGAAAGAAGATAAAAAGGTATGTTTTAATTACTAATCAGTTGACATTGTGATAAAGCATTACAGTAAACATTATTATTTTGAAAGGGTGTCGTTGTCTTTGGCATTTCGATATATATATTCTAATTTCAAGGAAAAGAAAAGCTTTTGTGAAAAATTTAGGCATGTCTGAGGTCACAAGTTAAGCTAAATAATTTTCAATTTCTTTTGTAATGTATATAAACAAGACTCATATATATACATGTGTGAGTGTGTGTGTGTGTGTATTATATATATATATATATATATATATATATATATATATATATATATATATATATATATATATATATATATATATATATATATATGTATATATATACAAGATTTTTATAGAACAATTTAAGTTTTATTTTGTAAATGCAAGGGAAGGAGAAGAAAATAATTTATGAAATATATATGATTTTTTTAGCACATATCTTGCATCTTTTATCATATGTCTTAATACTTTTAATTTCGCACCTCTCTTATATGATATCAAAAACAGTGTTTTATACTTTTGATGAAATTGATTCATTTGAGCATTTAAAACTGCATGGATTTCCAATTGAACAGAGCTCTTTGTATCAAATCTTACAGGTGAAGGATTCGGAGCCCAAAACTGCAACCATAGCTGAAATACCTTCAAACCCAGAAACAAGTCCAACAGTAATTTGATTTTGTCAATTATATTTATTTGATTTTTAGCTCACTTGAGCTGAAAGGTCAAGTAAGCTTTTCTGATCACTTTTTTGTCTGACTGGGTCAATTTTAACCAAGGTTGGCACAAAGCCTCCATTGTTGAAAGGGATTCAAGTATGTTAAAATGAAGAGTCATGCCCTCTTTCAAGGGGAGATAATTTAGAATTATTGAAAAATTATTGACATTTTTTAAGAATCTTTTTCTCAAAAACCGATTGGCCACAAAAGCTGTAACTAGTTTGGAAACATCCTCAGGTAGTATAGATTCAAGTTTGTTCAACCATGATACCCAGGGGTAGGGTGGGGCCACAATGGGGAAGTTGGTTCAAATTTTTACATAGGAATATATAGATTAAAATCTTCTTCTAAAACCATTCGCCTTGAAAAGCTGTAACTTCAGTGAAAGCATCTTCAAATAGTTTTTCAAAATCATGATCTTTGGGGGTAAGGTTGGGCCACATTATGGGGAGGGGGGGGGGGGTCCATTCTATTTTATTATTGTACATAGGAAAAAATTTGAAATCATTCTCAAAAACTCTAAAATAACATATGGTATTATTTATGTGCAAGCATCTTGACATATTGTTGATACTACATTGTCCAGATATTTTGTATATGACTCCATAAAGCTGATTTTGTTATGAGTATTATTGCTCAGGTGAGTGATGTGGACCATGGGCTTCTTTTGTATGCTCTCGTGTATGGATCATGCAGTTAAGGAGTTGGGGTCAAGAAGTTAAAAGATATCTAATTGGTATATTGTGCTGTTAAAGCATCAAAGAATTGTTTGTTTCCTCTTGAGTTTGAAAAACTGAACTTGAAGGTTAAGTTCATGTCCAATTCAATCTTTCATTAAAAAAGGAAAATGATATGTCCTGAATGTAACACTTAATAGAAAATTGAAAGATTTATTTATATTCATTATGTTGATTGCATGAGTGCTGTATATAATACTTCAAAACTTATTTTATTAGCAATGTTGAGATGTCATGCAGATGACACAAAATACATGTTTATAATTGTACAGTATGTTACAAAGAAGTATCAACAAATCATGCAGAGTCATTATAATTTAAGTCTGCATGATCATTCTTTCTAGCTAACATGTTAATTGTAATTGTTACTCATAAACTTGAGTTATAATGATTTGGGTATTGATTTTACAGGTTGAAGAATTGGAATCTGATGTCTCAGAATCAAAAGCACCAACAGTAAACAACATTAATTAATAGAATTATTTTACTGAAGCAACATAAACATGCGAAAAATCCAGCTATACTCTGTCCCAGGTTTCTGCTTCCACCACTTTTTGCTTTATATTTTGATAATAATTAATACATTTGTGCCTAAACTTCGTTCATCCACTGGAATGAAAAAAGTCCAGATTTTCTGTTTTGAAATGCCCCTTTGTATCATTACTCTTTAGGTTTAAATTCACAACCAAAAATAAGAAGACTATGGGGATTTTACATTGCAAATGACATGAAAAGTACCTGGATGGTAACGTTGAAAAATTGTGTGAGCCAGGTGTCCCGAGTACATGTACTTCCGAATGAAGAAAAGATGTCAACATTTCCCATTGTAAATCTCCATAAGAAATTTGTTTTTGTTCATGTTAATTTCTCCAGGTAAAAATAGATGAAGTGACAGTGATGAAATCTTGGAATTTTCCCCTTATATTGATTTCAGTTGTACTTCTTTAGCAGGTATGTGTGTTTTTGTTAAAATTCGTCAAAAAGTGATGGAAACGGTAACCTGGGACATTTACATTTTATCAAATGATTCATCTATTATTCCTCTCTGAAAATTCATCAGGATATCCCAGGAAGTCTTGAGACAAAGTCCCAGGATTTATCAGGATTGTCCTGAGAAGTCCTGGTTCTTTGAAGCCAGATTAACAAGGAATAATAGGGATGGTATTGGCAGTGTGACTTTTCAAGAATTTTAGGGACAAATTGAACATTAAATTCTGCCCTTTGAAGTCTTGCAAAGTCTCACTTAATCCTGCATTCTGAAAGGGGAGAATGTGGGATTATTCTGGACTTATCATGGAAAGTCCCAGTATTAGCTGTAGGACTTTGCAGGATTTTATGGGATATCCCTAAAAATCCTGTTTCTTAGCTGATGTTAGGACTCCTGGAAAATCCCAGTCTATCTTACTAACCCTGAGATAGAGAAGATGTTATATTGTCTGTAAATCAAAAAAAAAAAAAAAATATGAATCAAAATGATAAATGGAAACAAAATTTATTTCACATATTAGGTAAAAGCATTAACAATACCAGGATACTTCTAAAACAACATTTTTCCATTAGTCCTATTCCTGTGTGGAATACACATTCATTTATGCCTGCATATGTACTGCATATTTCTTTATGAAAAACTAATCTCAGTATTAATCTCTTTACATACACAATGTATTGACATTCACTTTTATTACTGTCACAAATATTCACAGTATGACTTTAAAAGCATAATTATGAATTATTAAAATTCAATGTTTTCTCCTCAACAATTTGTTCAATAGAAACAAAGTAGAAAGCTGTCAATGTGACAGAAAACCAGGTTTTCTTTTGTGTGAAGCTTATTTAGAACAGTACTGGTAATAATATTTTCTTGCATAAATTATAACTTTCTGTTCTGACAACTGTTGGAGGTGACATCCCAAATATCAATGTATCCTATGAACATATTTTGCATTAAAATGATTTAGTTTATTTTACTCATAAATTACCAAAATCAAAATCAAAGTATTTTATACATCTATAATATATGCATAATTGATCTGCAAAATAAGAACTTCCCATCTTGAAAACAGTAGGATTGAGTTATCTGGACAAATGATGTACCCTATATTCAATATTTTGCAAAACAAATAAGCTGGTATTTCTCACATAAATTACCAAAAAACAAAAATCTAAGTAATATGCACATGTCTGATATATGTACAATATTGATGTACAAAATAAGAACTTCCTATCTTGGAAACTGTATGAGGAGTTATCCAGACAAATGGGGTACCCTATAAGCAATATTTTCAAAAAAAAAAAAAGGACTAAGTTCAAAAGCTGGTGTTTTTCTAATAAGCTATCAAAAATCAAAATCCAAGTAATATGCATATCGCTAATATATATACAATTGATATGCAAAAGAAAAACTAATCCTATCTTGAAAACCGTAAGAGGAGTTATCAGGACAAATAATGTACCCTTTTGGCAGCCACCCACCATTTTCACCATATCAATAACCAGATTTTTCCAGTTAAAATTTTTAGAATCCTTCATTTATCCTTAAATTGAAATTAAATATCACACAAAGAAACAATCATTTTCTCAAGAATAATAACGAAATCTAGATCATAACTTAAAATATATGGTCATATATATATCTAAAGGATAGAGTAAACTGCAATTATAATTTGACATAGTAATTTTCTCAGTTGTTCAATCAGTCAAGAAATTTTTGTAATTCATATGTTTTGTTGGTACATCATTCCTATTAATGACAACCATATTTTGAAAATAGTGGTAAAAGGTACCATTAATAAACAACAAAAACTGGTTAAAATATATAAGTGTAAATAATGTTTCCAAGATTCAGTTAATCTTATCTGTTGGTGGGGGAAGGTGGCTCCTGCGGAATAACTTCAATCTGTCCCGCATCTTGTTACGGATGTCCTTGATGGCCATCTCCGGGAATTTTTCTTTTACGATTGCTGAAATGATAGCATAAAGAAATCATTGAGTGGTTGCAAAACAAATTCATCATGCACAACTCAAAATACCTAATCTATAATTTGTATTGCACATGTACCTTCTGCACACTGTCGTCTACTTTCCTGCAGTCCATCCTTGCATTCCCCCTTGACAGTTTTTTTCCCCGTAACACTGGATGTTGTTAACTCCTCAACCGAAAATAGAGCCTTAAATAGGCATTTAATGGTATCAGTGGGGGATTTTAGGTTTGCGACCATTTCTCCAAGTTGATGCTACAATAAAGAAGCAATAATAGATATATAGACAATTTTACACTGCCAACTCTCATTCAAAACCCTTTCTTAAAGTTTGACTTTTCCTAAGTCTGAATATAAATTTATAACGGTTTTCAGTTGTAAAAATTGACACAGAATAAACTTTCAATGAACAACTGATTTAAATGGTTGGGGATGTAACAGTCTTAAGAGAAGGTTTTACAATAACATTTCCTTGAATAACATTAAACTCGTAAAAGTTTTAAGGAAACTTTTAACCATGTAATCTTTCCAAACTTGGACAACTTGAACATGATGCTACAACCTAAAAAGGCTGTAGTAAATGACTACAATTTTTTTTGTTTGCTTTGATGACTCAAATTTTGAGGGAAAAAACCCTTCAATGAAAAATCTGTTTTCTCTTTAAGCACAATTCCACAAGACTGCCACAAACGACTTTTATTTACATTTTATGTAAACCTACTTTGCTATATCCATTGTATTTCACAGGGGTTTCCTCTGCGTCATCTGGGTTGTTCCCAAGACTCTTGTTTTTCTACAAAGTAGTTTGAGACTAGGTATGATATGCTATATATATGAATACTCAAGTAGATTTTTTTTTAAAATTGAAAGACAATCTGTTTTAAAGCTTTTCTCCTCAACTTAACTTAAAGAATAGCCATGTCAAAGTGCCGATTCCCTTCTTGGAAAGGTACTTATTAAGTTTGTAAACTGAAAAAAACTGTGTAATGAAAACTTGCCTTTAGTTTCCTCTTCAGTCTTTCCATTTCATCTTTCATCTGTTTCAAATCATTTACCAGCTGCTTCACAGTGTGACAGCAGCTGTGACATGACGGTGTTATACTTGGCTCGATTTCCTCGTTATAAAGGGTGGAAAATGCCCCCTGTACCAAACTTGATGTTGGTGCATCTAAATCAATATAGGCAGAGTCTGAGCCTGTCACTCCAACAGTCTGTGAAGTTAGGGAAAGAGCTTTC